CCAACAGATATATTGAGTGAAAAATAAATAAAATGGAGAACAAGTTCAAATTTACCCTTTAGAGGAGGATATACAATTTTCTAGCCCAGAAACTTCATGAAGCTCATAACAATAGCAGGGAGATCCAGTGTTCAAAATATCTCTTCCTCAAGTTGTGAATTGCTTTCAGTAGGCTGCAGTCATTCAGAATTTTCCACTTTGTTACATCCCATTTTTGGCACTTGTCACAGTCAATTCCCTGCCTTATCATGAGTTTTCAATTGTTCATCCCCAGACTTGGTATGTACCATCTACACCTTTTTAGCTATGTTTCATACACCAGGGTGTAGTTCTCAAAATGTTTGGTTCTTGTGTTACAGGACTAAATTTGTCCAAAAAATTATGTGACATTCTTTTTGCCCAGTTAGTGTAACCACCTTCCTTTATTAAATGGTATTCCATTGGCACAAGTTTCGCCCTGTGGACCTTGTAAAATGTAATAAAAAAAAATGTCAGAATACAGAAAAACAACAGAAAAAAGTTGAATATTCAACAACTTACAACCCTATTTTCAATGATCACAAAAGAAAAGAAAAAAAGTCTGTCAGAAGGTGATGCGTCCCAGAGAGAGAAGGATGATGCATTACCCAGCTGGTGTGACCTAAGGAAATATTTGGAGGCCATAAGCAACCACAGTGTGAGGTGATTGGACATGGAGAGTTGTTACTCACAAATTTCAAAATTTGATTGACACAGCTTGTTGTGGGCAGTGATGTCTGGGCTACGGACAATGACAGCTTGTGTGCCAGTAGTGAAGAGGGCAACAATAATGTAGAAGAAAGTGGATCACATTGCAGATGACTCAGCTCCCCTCCAAGCACTACTTTATCATCACCGCTGCTCTCCAGTTGGGCTGATTGGATATACAATGCAAAAGCAGACTCTTGTGCTCTGAAATCCTTCTAGCACCTGAACATTGTGCCTTGTTTGATATCCTGGCCAGCGCCTTCCTCTTCATGTCACTGAGTGGTTGTGATTGAACTTCCCATCCAGCTGTTTAGCAGTTGGACTTTCCCACCATCTAGCAGTTGCAATCAAAAGTTGAACATTGAATGTTGTACCCTCACACCATCTAGTGATTTAATACCCCACCACCCCCTACACACTTACGAGTGAAGATAGGAAAAAAGGACAGGAGGAAAATTGAATGCACATTCCACCACATCTCCTCACTCTGCCACACGATGTCTTCACATCGCACCAATAGCCATAGTGTTTAAAAGTCCGGTTAGGTTATATTATTGGGTGCCCAGGGGCTCTAACTGAGACCGAGACCAGTTAGGGTTTGTTCCCAGACCCAAAATAACCTAACTGGACCCAAGATAACTGACCAAAACCAGTTAGTTGCAGTTACTAACCAGTTAGGACCGAAAAAATAGAAAATAGATTAAAACAGCATATATTTCTCATATTTCTTGCTGTAAACATTATTGCCATGTATCATAGCTTTAAAATAAGCCCAAGAACGCTAGGTTCGGTGAAGAATTGACAATTTTATGATAATATTCTTGAAAACCTACTTTTTTGGCCAATATTTTAGTGATTTGACCATAACTCTGTCAGATTTTTATCGTTTCTCATGCTTTTAGATGTGTTTTGAAGGGGTATAATAGGGTTGGTTTTAACTGGTCATAACCAGTTTTTTAACAGTTAGTTAACTGTGAAATAACTGGTTATTTCATTTCCAGAATTGACTAACCACTAACCGCGGTCTGGTCTTTATGCGGTTAGGTCCGGTCTGGTCTTGGTTATTTTCCAGTTAATTGACTGGACCTTCAAGTGCTAAATAGCCATGCAATCACACTCATGGATTATCTGCATCCTGGCCTTGTACCCTACTGTGGCAGCTTCCTCACTGCTGAAGGAGATTGAAGTAAAGCCTATGGTGGTCCAGGGGTTCTTTTTTTTTTTTTTTGTCAAATTCAAGTCTATTGAGGCAAAGCCCCATGTCAGACCTTACGCCTCTGTAGACTACCTAAGGCCCCTAGTGCCAATATACCTGACCCCCTATGACCATCCCTTGCACTGTTGAGGGCACACCCATGGCAATTCTTCCTGGCATGGAAACACCATTTAGAGATGTGTCTAAAGCGAGCAGGGTTTATAGGATTGGAAGGGAATGCCCAGAGGCCATAGTCAAACAGTGGTATATAGCTAGATTTGGATATCTTACATAATATATTGATCTTTTGTCTTGAACCACCATCTTGTCAGCAGTCTTGCCATCCTCTTGCACTACATGTAGTGCTTTGTATATCTGTACTTCCTACAGTATGCATAATCATGTTGGGCCAGCTGAGTACCTTGTAACTGCTCATTGCTCACTCATGGGTGTTGATCCTAGATCCACCCATTCTTGCCTCCTCCTTCCCTCTTGGCTTCAGCTATGCGAGAAGTTCAGAGTGAACACTTCACAAGGGTAGTCTCATCACCCTGCTGTGTGATGCAGTCCATCTGATGTTTGTTTCATCTTCCAAGTACCCAATCGTAAAGCGACAGGCACAGCTATGGGACAAGCACGTTCAGGTTAAGAGAAAAAAGTAATTTGTTGTTTGTTCTTCTTGCTAGAGTGCTCTTTTGACCCAGGGGTTCTTACTAGTAGTCTTCCACCTGTTCCTGTTCCAAGGCCTGTTTCAAATGATGTGCCAACTCAGCAGAAGCACTTCCAAGGTCTGAATGTCTTAGTAGGGTGATCCAATATGACCGAAGAATCAAGCTGTTTCTCTTATCATCATGGCCATCATCTGACTTTGATGTTGATGTACAAAATATTATCCTACACTCTTACAAGGTTCTGAAGTACATTTTTCAATGCTCTCACTTGGTTGTTCCAGGAGAAAGCAATGGTACAACCAAGGAGGTTGGGAAGCAGTTCTTGGAGTTTGAGAGGTAGTGTTCGCAAGTTCAGTTCAGTCCGGTTTTTTGCCCCCAAAACGCGCAACCGTGGACCGCAACCGGTCTAGGACCGACCCAGATATTGAGGGAACCGAACCGAACCACCTAGGACCGGTCTATTTCGGTCTATGGAGCCGGTTCAGACCGATCCAGACCGGTTTTTTTGCATATAATTTATTATACCAATATAAACCATTTGTATCTTGACTATTATTACTCTGAAAAATAAACGGGTTAAATGGAATAGTAAAGCATGTAAATACCCGTCATTCTACCAATTTTGAAGAGATTTAATGAAGATTTGACATAGCTATGACTGAAACCGAATTACATCTCGTAGAGACTCGGGTAAAATATGGATTTGGTTATATCTTTCTCAATTCTTAACCGTTTTTGATGAAACAAAAACCCAATAAAAGGTAATAAACGTGGTTACAAGGGTATGTAACGCACGTGACCGTTTAACCGGTTGCAACCGATCAAAACCGGTCTTTGAACGGTTTTAATATATTTTCGAAATGAGGCAACCGGCAACCGGACCAACCCCAAATTGGGGCAACTGCAACCGAAAAAAAGACCGGACCATGGTCCGGTTCAGTTCGGTCCACCGGTTTTTTGCGGTCCTATGGACTGAACCTTTAAACACTATTGAGAGGGTTCAGTTTTTGAGTGTATTGAGACTTCAGTGAGTATTGGAGTACTGAGTGTGTTCAAGGGGTTCTGTGTTTGAGCATTTGGGGTTTTCATCATTCTCCCTCATCAAGTTTGCATCAAGTTCACTCCCCATCTCTTTGGGTTTTGTCTCCCTCTCTTCTTATCTCTCCTTTCAATCCTTCCTGTCTTTCTTGCTCTCTCTGTCCCTCTTGAGCTTTGTCCCCCTCTTATTCACTCTGCCTTTCCCTCTCTGCCTGGTCTCTGCCCCCACTGGAGTAGTGCATCCTGGCAGATGCATACTCCATCCCCCTGGTGTTCGGGGACTCACTTAGGTGTCAGAGGGTTTACATACACATTTAGATGTCACATCGTGTTTGTAGGTTCTTCAGTCAATACCACCACATCCATTCGTGTCTACGCACTCTCTGTGTCACTTGCCACCTCTCCACCATCTTTTCTCTTGTTCCTTCATTGGAGGCTGATGTGAGAAGTTCGCAATCTTTTTCCAGTTGGTTCATGTTTTGTCATCGTTAGAATAGCATCCTCTCTTGGTTCTCTCGTTTAGAATTCAGGTGCTTCCTGGGGATCATCTGACCCCTGGAGAGTTAGCTACAAGCCCTAGGGCTATTAGCCCTAAGGCTTGTTGTACTTGTTTGTGCAGTCACTGATGGGCCCATGTTGACATAGCCTGAGAATGATCAAGAATTCTGCAAAGCCTGCCAGCTCATCAGACTCTGTGTAAATAACTTACATAGATTTTTTTGTGGATCTACCAATTTCTTGAATAATTCCCTGTGAATTATCAAAGCATGGGAAGCTTTAAAATTTCAAAGACTTTTGTGAAAGATACCCCATTTTCTTTTGAAAATGGAGATGTTTGACAGAATCAACACCACCAAACACTTTACCAAATAGAGTGTCAACTCTTTAGCCTTATACAGTGACTAGTGTTTGAAAGTTAGGTTAGTTAACTGGAAAATAACCGAGACCAGACCAGACCATAACCGACCAGGACCACAAATTTTACCTAACCGATCCTAACTGTAACCATGGTCCAGTTAGTGGTTAGTTATCAGTTCAAAATATTTGAGACTGAACAAAAACCAGTTAGGACCAGTTATAACCAGTCTTTGGGTCCTAAAATTACATCAACATATTCACCTGTTCACAAGCTTTATAATGACTCCAGAAGTAAATTTTTTGGTTGAGAATTACTAAGTTTATGGGTAACTGAAATATGTGTTACTTTTGTTCCAAGTGTCACATCTGTGACATTCAATGTAGCCATGTCAAACACTTTCGTGACTTTCCTTCCTTGTTCATCATCACTATATTTCCACTTCACCTCAGCAGGGCATTTCAAACGGTAAGCAATAGGCCCCAAACATGTTTTCTTAACTAATTCCCACATTTTAGGCACCCTCATACTCGTGTCCTGGAGCCTCTCCCCTCCAATGAGGGATGTAGGCCGTTGTTTTTTGTGTTTCTGAAAGTTCAGTAAGGAAGGGTGGGATGGGAAATAGAGAGGGGAGACCCACAGTTTGGGAGACCCAGCCAGGTGTGTGAGCTCCATGGCAGCCACCAGCAGCTGGCGAACATGTTTTGTTATAGTTCAACATGAATGCCTATGCACCCCACCCAACATGAGGCACCATACCATCACCTGCCATTTGGATTCATCAACACTCAATGCCGGACCTCACCACTGCTATCCTGCCTGTATAGCCCACCACATCACAGATCAACCCCATATCTTGTTGACTCCTGCAACATCAACTCACACCATGTCGACCTGCGCCTCATCAACCCAGCTGCGTTGACCACAGCGCATCAACCCTGCACCACCATCATCATGTTCAGCACTTTACGACCAGCACAGGGCGGCATGTGAGATGCACACCACCCCATTCTTGCTCACATGCTGTTGTGGGGCTGTACTTGCACGACAAACAAGGGGAATTACCCTTGTTCATCAACTCTCCAAATGAACGAGGGAATTTCTTCCCTTGTTCATCTCTTTTTTCATTCCCCCAGCATGCAACTTCACATTGGGCCATGATGTGAGGTGGTGTTTCACCCATATGTCACCTTGCTGGCCCTCTTGACCTTTTGTCGTTTATATTAGAATTATAAATTTATAATGTAGATGGGAATAACCGGTCAAGACCAGTCATGTAACTGGCAACTAACCGATACTAACTGATATAATTGGTTAGTAGCAGTCTGGTTAGGTTATTTTGAGTCTCACCTCTAAAGGTAACCAGTCTTGGTCTCAGTTAGAGCCCCTGAGGGCCCAATAATTGGACCAGACCAGACTTTCAAACACTAACGGTGACCAAACAGTGACGGATTTCACAAAGAATAAATTTACATTGTTCTACTACAAATGTATACATAGTGAAAATTGGAAAGAAGAACTTACAAAGTCAAGCTCAGCATTGGCTAAGCATCAACCAATTAGCACAAGTAACTACCACTCAAGCATCATGTGGCAATGAAAATTTTGTGTGTTTAGTGTGTGTAATGACTCTCAATAAATTGTATATATGTGGAACTGAATGTTTGCAAGTGGCATGATAAGTACAGAAGGGAAACAGAGATGCGAAATCAATGTGATGGATGTGACAATGCAACAGACCCATCACCTCATCATGTTTAGTTGTGGCTGCACATGAGAGTCTCAGTGGTGTTTTCCAAGGAGGGCATTGAATCAACTGGGAGAGAATATTCTCCTGAGAATAATCATCTGATGACCCACAATTGACCGGTTGTGGAAGTTGTTGTTCAACACTAGTAAACAAACTCAGCAAAAACATAGTTCACCCTCTGTACCCTGGGGGAAGAAGCTTGAAACTATTAAAAATGCATTCTACACAACCAAGCCTAGTTTTCAGTCAATCTACATTAAAATTATGAGTGGCGGTGTCTTGAGGAATAGAAAAATGTGAAATTTTGGAAGAGAACTTCAATCAAGGTGTCACTTTCTGTGACAAACATGTTTTGTGTTGGCATCGTGTTCTCTGCTTTTGCCACTTCAAAATAAATCTATGCTAAACCATGGATATGAAGTCCACAGCCGAAGCTCTGCTCAAGGTTCTGAGTCTTTACAAACTCAGTTAGTCCATTAAAACACAAACTCATTGAAAAATTCTTCTTGGATTGAAATTTTACTGGTTATTGTTTGAACCACTTGGCAGGGCATGCTTGAGATCCCAGGTCAGTGAACAATATTGTACTGCAGTACGTTGCATCAAGAAGGGGGGGGAGCAAAGAGTTTTTAATCTGAGGTGGGTGTTACAAACAGAGGATGTTGATTCTAGGTACATAGTTGACTGTGGGCAGCCGTGCTCAATGGAGGCCATCGTCAAATTGGATATTGTGGATTGAGGTCAGCGTAAGGTGGTTCGGTGGATGTGGTAGCAAGTTGTGTGGTGGTGTGGGTTGTTTGGCATTGGAGCCTTCAGGGTAAGCCGAGTGTGTGATTCTCAGATTCTTGTGGTCCCAGCAGGTTCAACATTCTGTTTCCGAGGGAGCCTCAAGGCTAAGAGCCCTGGGGCTCATAGCCAGGTCAGTAGTGTTTTAAAGTCCAGTCTAGTCTGGTTTTTTACCTCAAAACAAGGCAACTGGCAACCACAAACAGTCCAGACCGATCCAGATATTAAGGGACCACAACCAGACCCTTTTAGACTGGTCCTAATCAGTCCACAATACAAAAGAAACCAGTCCAGACTGGTTGCAACTAGTGTTTAAAGGTTCAGTTCAGTCCGGTTTTTTGCCCCGAAAACGCGCAACCATGGACCGCAACCGGTCCAGGACCCACCCAGATATTGAGGGAACCGAACCGAACCACCTAGGACCGGTCTTTTGCGGTCCATGATACCGGTTCAGACCGATCCAGACCGGTTTTTTTGCGTATAATTTATTATACCAATATAAACCATTTGTATCTCAACCATTATTACTCTGAAAAATAAACGGGTTATATAAAATAGTAAAGCATATAAATACCCGTCATTCTACCAATTTTCAAGAGATTTAATGAAGATTTGACATAGCTATGACTGAAACTGAATTACATCTCCTAGAGACTCAGGTAAAATATGGATTTGGTTATATCTTTCTCAATTCTTAACCGTTTTTGATGAAACAAAAACCCAATAAAAGGCAATAAACGTGGTTACAAGGCTATGTAACGCACGTGACCGTTCAACCGGTTGCAACCGATTAAAACCGGTCTTTGAACGGTTTTAAAAGATTTTTGAAATGAGGCAACCGGCAACTGGACCAACCCCAAATTGGGGCAACTGCAACCGAAAAAAAGACCGGACCATGGTCCGGTTCAGTTTGGTCCACCGGTTTTTTGCGGTCCTATGGACTGAACCTTTAAACACTAGTTGCAACTGGTCTTTTGTTGAAAACTTTATTGTACCACAGAACCTAAATACTACCTCACATACATAGCATACATAGATAGATATTTTAATTCTCCATAGACTGATTTAAAATTTAAGCAATTCTGTGAAGATTTGACTGAGATATGGCAAAAATGGAAAGGATATACCTTCAAATTGTGTATAGAAATGTTTTTGGTCATATCTCAACCAATTCTTTACTGTTTTTGATGATTGAGGGACCAAAAATTAGGTTAAAATGTGTGTTAGTAAAGTCCAACACGTGATGGAATGAAAGACCAGTTTCAACCAGTCTAAACTGGTCTTTTTCGGTTTTAAATATTTACAAAAACATGGCAACTGGCAGCTGGACTGACCACAAATGTGGGCAACTGCAACTGGAAAAAGTAGTGTTTGAAAGTCTGGTTCGGTCCGGTTTTTTGATGCCCAGGGGCATTAACCGTAACCGTAACCAGTCTGCCTTTTCCCCAGAAGTCAAAAGACCAGACCGGACTGCAAAAAACTGCGGTCTGCGGTCTTTTTGCGGTCTATAGACTGGTTTCAGTCTGCATCGGTTTTAACCAGTTTATGACCGGTCTTTAGGCCAATATTTTAAAATTATGAATCGGTAAATGTATTAACATCTCTATTAGCGTCAAAACGAGCCCAAGAACGTTAAATTCCATTAGGAATTGGTGCTTCTATAAAATAAGTCTAGTACATCTATTATTCCCAAAAGTAATTTACATTTTAATTCATATCTCTCTCGTTTTTTGACCAAATCGTACGTTCTTGGGTGTGTTTTAAAGGATATTTAAGGGGCTACAAAAGACCGGTTCACGTTAACCGGTTTTTTTTCAGTCTTTACATCTCAAAAATAAAAAGACCAAACCACAGGTCTGGTCTTTTGCGGTCTTGGTCCAGTCTGGTTACAGTCTTTTTCCAGTCATGAGACCGGACTTCCAAACACTAGGAAAAAGACCGAACCATGGTTCAGTCCAGTTCAGTCCCATGTATATTTTCAGTCCTGTAGACTGGACCTGTGAACACTACAGGTCAGCAGGCAGTCCGACATTCTGGCTTCCTGGGAACAAGGGAGTGCCACCACATGTGACTGAGAGTAGGATTCCAAGTGGGAGTGACTTTGGCAGCACATACTTGGACAATCATTAAATTGTGGGAGACAAAAACCAGTGCGCCCTCCTTTCTGCTTTTTTCTGGTGTTCAGGGAGGAGGGATGGTCTGCTAGATATTCTACTCTTTTTCGGCATGCAAGCATCATCGCTTGATCATTGCAAAGGGGCCGATGATCATAGCTGCCAAGTCATACTATCTTGTGCTCACTCGGGATTTCATTTCTGGATTTTTTAGATGTTCCTACTTTTAGCCACATGAAAGCCTTGCCCACCATATGCATCTACTTTCGTCTTGTTGGATCTTTTCCAAATCTTTTCAACACCAAGCTGATCAAATGATTCTGAGTAGTGTTTGAAAGTCCGGTTTGGTCCGGTTTTTTCATGCCCAGGGGCGTTAACCGTAACCATAACTGGTCTGCCTTTTCCCCAGAAGTCAAAAGACCAGACCGGACCACAAAAAGACCGCAGACCACGGTTTTTTGCGGTCTATAGACCGGTTTCGGTCTGCATCAGTTTTAACCGGTTTATGACCGGTCTTTAGGCCAATATTTTAAAATTATGAATCCGTAAATTTATTAACATCTCTAATAGCTTCAAAACGAGCCCAAGAACGTTAAATTCCGTTAGGAATTGGTGCTTCTATAAAATAAGTCTGGTACATCTATTATTCCCAAAAGTAATTTACATTTTAATTCATATCTCTCTCGTTTTTTTACCAAATCGTACGTTCTTGGGTGCGTTTTAAAGAGTATTTAAGGGGCTACAAAAGACCGGTTCACGTTAACCGGTTTTTTTGCGGTCTTTACATTTCAAAAATAAAAGACCGTAACCGCAGGTCCGGTCTTTTGCGGTCTTGGTCCGGTCTGGTTACCGTCTTTTTCCAGTCACGAGACCGGACTTCCAAACACTAATTCTGAGCACCTTTGATTATTCTAAGTTTAATTTCTAACCATGGCTGAATCTTGCTATTGAACTTTCAGCTGCCATGGAGGCGTTGGATGTGCCGGTTTGGAAACATGAGGTAGTCTAAGGGAGCACTACACACTGAGAGAGAGCTGTCGAATTGGTCCAAGTGACTAAAATGTCGTTGCTTGAGTGCTTAAGCCTCAATCAATGATACATCATAGTCTTGCTCAAAGGCAGGCATCTGAGCCCATGCTGCTGCTTCACACTCCCCCAGCTACTCCGCGACGTTGGAAACTTAATTCTCAGTCAAATTTGGCAGTCATTCGTTTTTGGCGAGCTTTCAGTTCTCACTGAAGCAGCTGCTGAACTATATTACGGGTAACCTACCAGCCCTAGTACTGGTACGGGGTATGTCTTATCTCCATATTATATTCAACTATTCTATACACTATTATCTGCCTCCCGTTTTTTTTCCTGATTGCTGCCCGTCACCTTTTCCTTCAAGTAATCACTGTCCACCGTCGCTATCCCGGAAAGTTTATCTCGATCCATAGGTAGTTCATTTTGATCCCCGCTCGACTCATCTATCGAAGTGCTAGTCCCTAGTATCCCGACTGTTCCCGTGAATCTTATAATCGAAAACTGGCGTGCTTGTCGTACAGCATCCTCTGTTAGAATATCGGACGCCGTGCCGGAGTTCCATGCAGTTCCCTGGGCTACTCGATATATGATCATAAAAGAAGCAATTGTCTGTATAATGGATTGTTGGTTAGAAAGCAGGGTGAGATACGCCAAAGCTGTACCTGGACTTGGACCAGAGTCGACATAGCAATATTTGCCACAGGGCTTCCCAATGCGAACGGTACCAAGAAGAAGAGGACTATGACGTCCTGAATGGACGCCGATTCCACAAGGAGAGAAATAATGCTCGTGTAGTGCGAACCATGCCGTTTCCCAAGAACCTTGTACACCCGCCTTCGGTGGAAGTAGAGGCGGATGCTGATCATGAGAGTGAGCAGAATGTTTAATGAAAGGCTTGTGAAACCATATATAAGGGTGAATGCGGTGGAATTCCAGGGACCGGACTCAAAACGGGATATCCGGACGAGGTAAGTAATACCGGTTACTGGGACGGAATACGTGAGTAACGAAACAGTGAGGTTTGAAAAATGATAAGATGTACCAAAGGATCCGAGAAGCATGATTCCGGGTATAGCCATAATGATCCAGATCGGTGTTGTTGAGGCTCTGTATATGACGAAACATCTCCAGAGCTTCCATGACATGCATTAATCAGCGCCCACTGACTCTCCGGCGCGGTGAAAAACGTACGAGCAAACTATCCGCTGACCAGTTCATCAACTGAAAACACACATTCCCAAGCATACTAATCGGAATCGAGAACATAACCGTTTCATAGGCGGCTGGCCCACCAGGAAAATCCCGATTATCAATGAAGCCAAGCTGCGTCATCTCAGCTTGACTCGCCATCGTCAAAGTGCTGAGAATGAACATAAAGCAGGTATAAACCAAGAGCGCCCAATGTTGTCTCCTTCTTGAAATTTCGTGCGTTTCCTGATGTGCCCGTTCGCGTAAAAGACAAAAGTTGAGGGTAAAGAGTGTTAGAACCACGCCATAAGCGACTGCTGAAAGGATTCCTCCTTGGAGCCACATCTTCTCGGCGAAGAGTTGGGAAGCGGGGACATTGGGTCGGTAGGGGTTTGACAAGGTGCGTGAAACGGACAAGGGAAAGCGTTTAAGAGTGAGAATGCTCCGAAGGGAGAGGGGCACGAACCAAGGCCATTCTTTTGACTGATGAAAAGAGCGCCCGTCAATCACGGTCCCGTCGATAGACATCGCGCGGTCATAATGTCTTCGCGAAACCCCTTCGGAAAGCGGAACAATTTCGGCGGAGGAAGGTCTGAAGGATAATGAGGCCTCGTCGCATTATACAAGAGGAGATGAAAAACTCACGAGCGGAGGCGTTTGATGCTCAACATCAACGCTGGCCACGATGTGTAATTGCGCTCCAACACCGCACTGTCTTTCGGGGGCTAATATTGTACGGTCTAAATACGAAGACAAACTCCGCTGAGCTCCACTGCTGTGAGGTGGCAAAGTTGAACCCTTTTGTCACTCTACCAGAAACGCGAAGTCCGTCGGGCTGGTGTGACCAGTGAACACGTTGATAGAATGGAATACGGGCCGTTGATATCAACCACAGCTGATTCTGGTCCTTACAATCGCGCCAGCGGCCGCACCTGAGGTGCTAACTTGGCGTTTGTGAGAATGGTTGCTTGCGCACCAATGAGGCCACCCACGCACGATACGTGTACCTCTCTTATCACGTCATCAGGTGGGCAGAGTCTTGTCTCTCCAGTCCCTGTCAAATATGGGATGCCTATGAGTGGAAAAGCAGCCTGCGCCGGATCAGGCAAAAAAAGCCCCTCATATGTCTCAAATTGAACAGTCTGGAGCAGGAGATCTAGCGCTCAAAAGAAGGTCTTCTCTGCGTTGAGAGCCTGTCCGCGTGTCGTTCCATTTTGAGCTTCCGGAAGGGAACCTTGCTCAGAACCGGATGAAGATAATGAGTTCATCTCAGGGGATCAACGGAAGAATTCAATTGAAGGGGGCCTTCACCTGGCGTCCTTGCCATAAATGAGTTAGAAAGGGCACAAAATTCCCCGAGTACTTGAGAATGTAACTGAGTGGAGGGTAAGCTTTCATTTGTTAGGTAGGAGGGGGGTGTGGGCAACAGCAGGTTCCACTTGGTCTATCTGCCTTGGGGCAAGATAAGAAAAGAAGACACACCACCCAAGGAAACCTAACCCAATAATATAATGTTCCGAGGAGATGTACATATCAGGGAGGACAGTTGACCTCTAGACCTTGTACCGTCGCCCAGTCTTCGTGAAGAAAGTCTGAAGGACGTAGACCTGAAATCTACATGGAAACGTGAATACTTTGCCGGAACACAAGTAGAACCTGCTACATACACGGCCATCCCGATGACACCTAAACTCTCAATCACTGCATACCAGAATAGGCGACTGGTGATAACCGTTAGCGGTGCAACACATTCAATGGACTTCGGACGTACTTTTGTGTCGATTTAACGATGGAAAACCCACGATTTTCCTGGGTATGATGACTGCGACGGGGTCAGTCACGTCCGACAAGGCATACTCAAACGACACTCACTGCTTCTGCATTCTCTTGATGTTCATCAGCAGACCATTCAGCCTGAACACGCTCTCTTCCAACGCGCTCGTATGCTCGGAAATCTGGCCAGGCTTCCCCGGTGCCTCTCGCCTGGGCTCACTCTCCACCATAATGTCAAAGTCCACCAGCTTGTCCGTCAACGTCGACATGTCATTCTCAAAACAGAAAGAGTATTCTCCGACGGTGTTGGCGGTGAGAACGTAGTCACCCTGGCGCTCTCTCTCGCCGTCTAGGATAACCTTGTGGTTGGGGTCTTTGATATCAAAATCAATGTCGAATGCGCCTCCTGATTGCACCTGTCGGTTCTGGAGGTTAGACCGAGACTACCACAGCCATCTATCGCCTTGTTAACGTACGGCAAAGTAAAACTAGACCGACGAAGGTCAGCATTGGTCTTCGCTGCATCAACCAACGACGCACCCCAATTTTTTCCCCAGCCTTGTCAACGTCGGCAAAGAAACATATCCTTTCGTTGGCAGAAATGGAGGTGGTAAGGGCTGAAGCTTTGACAGAAACCGAAAGTGAGAAGAAGAGAAAAAAAGATAAGAGAAAATGTCGCAGAGCCATGATAGCGCCGTCACCGTTGCAAACGATGTTGACCCGTATTTCGGAGTTCTAATGAGGAGGCAAGCACTTACAAGCACGCAGCACTGCCATTACTTACACGATCGGGATCGTTCAGAATCGCTCTTACTGTCAGCTCCTATCTCGTTGTTCATATCCTGAGTTCCTGGCGACATCAAAAAAAAAAACGACTGTCCGTAGCGGGTAGTTTGCAGTCGAAGGAATCGCCCACAGTCAAGAATCACATCGACCGTTGTGATTGCAAAGCAAGCTTTAACTTGAAGCGGGCTCAACCATCAGAACGGTACCGATCTTCTTGGTGGGGCCTCAGCAAGAAGTCACTCAGCGTGTGTTTCCTTCCCTTCGTCAGGCGCATTCGATAACAACTTCTTTAACAGAAAACTTTCCAGCTATGTCTCCCTCGCCACTATCATTACCACAGGAGGTGATCGACAAAATCGTCGATGACCTCGAGCCTGATGAGGACCTACCAAGTCTGTTGAATTGCTCCCTCATCAGCAGGTCATTTCTTGCAGCTAGTCGCAGAGTCCTTTTCAACCAGATGACCCTTGGCACGGACGATGACGCCGAACGGGGGTCGAAAGATTGCCGTGGTTTGTATACCATCGTCTCTGCCAACCCTCGACTTGGGTCATGTATCAAGAGAATAGTTATTGAAGATTCGCTATTTTCTAGTCCAGATCCAGAAAAGGGTACCAGAGTTGGATGGGTATCGCGCGAAGAAACACTCCCGTTGCTCTTGCCGCTCCTGGTGTCTCTCAAATTCTTAGCCATCAGAGCGTGGCTCGCTGATGAGAACCATCGCAAGCTAGACTGGTCCACCCTCCCGCCCAAACTCATAGCTGCATTTTCTCAAACATTCATGCTTCCCAGCCTGGTCAAGATCGAGTTTGTTGAGTTGAAGAACATCCCGAATGAGGTCGTTACCTCTTCAAGATATCTCAAAGGGTTGTCCCTCTGGGGTACACATTTGCTGGAGTTCAGTGACAACACCTCAAGTGGCGTTGAAATCGCACAGCCTCGGGTCCGGAGCCAGCTAGAGTACTTGGACATCACCAACTGTGCTCTTATTATCCCTACCCTGATCAAATCACTCGACTTATCTTGTCTGAAAATGTTACGCGTCGGGTTGACCTGTGCAGCTGATTTTGTTGGGTGGTCAACACTCGTGGACTGTATGTCACGGTCACTCGAAGAACTGGACATCATCCAGATGTATCCGTCCAATGAGCAATTTTGTGAGATACCCTATATTTCTTCTACATGTTTTCCTCTCTAATTTAACTCAGGCATTCCCCATGAACTCCTAGACTTCCCCGCGTTCCCGAATCTTCGGGTATTTTCTCTCGACATAGCCTACTATGCCTGTGAAACCTTCCCTCACCTCAACGTTCTACCAATCCTGCTCTATCAATTGCGAAAAATTACCTCCGATAGCAATCTCGAGGAGTTCAGATTGCTCGCGGACTACAGCCCGCCTCCTACCGATATACATGGTGTCGATGATGACTGGCTCAACCGTTTTTGCCGCCTTCCGTTTTGGCACGAGTTGGATTCAATCTTAACGCATCCTCGGTTCTCGAAGTTAAGAAGGGTGGATGTTTCATTCAAAAGGAATGACGGAACGGAGTCGATGTCGTCGGAGTCTGACCTGCATATGTCTGATGAACCTGACCCACAGGTGGATCGTGGTTCTGACCTCCAAGTGGATGTCGAACCCGAATGTGACCTTGAACCAGAGCTTCACGATTTACGAAAGCAGATACCTGGGTTGGTTAACAAGAAAATCGTCTTCTTTGACTTTATGGAGTACGTCGCTCAGAAATTTTAACTTCTAAACGCTTCTAACGAAACTTTCCTAGCGAGTAAACATTATGATTTTACAAGTGACTACAGCGGATCATATATATCATTGATTCATGGATGGACTGCGTAGCTTGATTTTTCTTTCGTTTGGGTCACTGGCAAGTAGATCTTGGCTGCTACGTACTGAGCTTCCCGCCCATCCTACCCGCCCTTCAAAGAGTTAATTCAAGCATCGTGCAGAAAATTTGGCCAATTTCCTACGCGAAAGATTCCAGCGTGTTCCAAGTTTTTTCTGGCGTCGAAAGGAAGAGGACTTGTGTTGAAGAAAAGTTTGGGGCTCGGGCCATTCGGCTGAGCTCGGCAATTTCCGATCGACATCATATCGTCCTCCGACTCGCTGGCCACAACGTTGACCTCTTCACCTCCATCCATCTCCTGGCTTCATCCTCTCGTGAGCTGATTCTTCTCTGGTTCACAGGACATTTCTATTGCAATGTCCGCGGATTTGGCGCGTCTGTGGCCTCTCGACGCTTCGCCTTTGGACCCGACACGCTCTTCACATCCGGACTCTACTGATCGGTTCTACTTCTCTCCCCATATTCGACCGCTTTCCCCTGCTCAAGATGAATTCTACCCGAACTCAAGGTCTAGGGAAGCCGAAGCGTGTTTGCACTACCTCTACGATCCCCAGCAATTTCTTGATGATTTCAACCTTCTGGATCCTCAACAAACTCGACCAATACTCTTTCCATCATCGGACAACCGGATATACCCCAGCTCTATTCCCCCGGCTACCTTCAACTCTCATCATCACATGCTTTCCCTTGACTTTGCTGCTACAACTCTGTTCAATACGCCTTCTTCGCCCCCCACTTTCGGATTCCTTTCTCCTACTTCAACTGCCGCTCAACCTCAAACTATCGATGCTGATATGTCTTCAAGCTCACCTCTGTTCTCTGCTTTCTCATACATTCAAGAGGATTTCTCTAGCTCTCCCTTCGGATGCCACTTTGATTTGTCTTTGCCGAACAACCTACTGTATTGCGAATCGGACATATCTCCCGTCGTCCGTGCGCCTAAAGCACCTCCGGCACTCTCTCATCAACAAACACCCAAACCTGACGCGAAGTCTAAGAACGGTGGAAAACGGAACAAACGGAACAAACCCGACCCTACCCCAACCTTTATGGAAAAGCTTCGCTGCGCTCCTGATCAGTCTGACGTTGTGCCTCTCACCTCCTCGCGGCTGGAATCTTCATCCCCTCTTTCGCTTGATGTTCCTTCCTTACAGTCGCCGTGTAAGCTGAATTCTCTAGGGGTCTATCGCGCCAGCAGTCCTCCCGAAGATCCTGTCGATTCTGAAGCTGTCTCAGCAAAAGATCAACCGCCGCAAGTTGATGGAAGCCTACTAAACCCAATAACCCCGCTTCGTTTATCTGACCCTGCATCCCTGTCTCCGCTGACTCCACTCACTCCAAGCTCTTCACTCGTCCCACGCATTTCAATCTCTCTGAAACCCAAACGCCGATTGGCGGATGCTTCTTCGCCTCTTATTCGAAGGAAAAGACTACGCAGCCGTGCGCTCCAGCTACCTGACTCCTCTTCTGAATCTTCTGCTGCCTCGTCATCGTCGTCTCCCACAAGTTCTCCCACGCCTTCATCCTCAAAGTCTGTTAGCAACGTTACCTTCGGCATGCGCACTCTACCAGCCTCAATCACAACCGCATCCAAGTTCCCACTCTTCTATCGACGCTTCCCGGCAAGCTCCTATTTCCAGCCTCTAGACGCCGAGTAAACACATCTTTATTCTTTGCTACGCCCATTCACTATCTGATTTTTTCTAAGATCCCCTTGTACCTTGTTCGACGTCCGCCATCCAGGGGGAAATTACAACATGCCTCGCGGAAGCCTAGACCTTTACACCCCGAGATTTGTTAAAGGGAGAGGAACAGAGAAGGTGGGAATGTGCCCCATCTGCGTCGAGCCGGCCGAGCGGGGCGGCGAGAACAAGAAACTTTGGTTTGCGATGAAGTTCTCTGCCTTCAAGTGGTACGTTCTCTGCCCATGACCTGTAGCAGTTCTAATACGATTATATTCCAGCGCCGTCATTTATATTTCTTTCCCAAGTTTTGTAGCTAACCATTTACAGTTACCACATGCAATACGCACATGGTTCTTATTATTTCCTCCACTGAAATTGAGAACGCTAACCCATTCAACGACACTGTAGGAATTTCGGCGTCCACCGGTCGTCCCTTCTCACCCCCAACGTCCTTCCGCCTCATTGAGCGCCCAAAACCTGGTAAGAACGAAAAAAGGCACATCCAGCAAGGAAAATGTCACAAATGTGACAAGTGGGTCGCCGTGGAAGGTGTCAAGGACTTGGAAAGCAAGGTAATGTCGGCGATATTCTCACTCTTTGTTCGGCCTGTTGATCGTTGATTGTCTCGGAAGGTGAAGGAACTCCACTGGTATGTACCTCTCTCGGCTTTCTCTAGCTAATTCACTCTTCGGATAAAGGTGGAAACACGCTGCCTCCTGCCATCAGGGATCGACTATTTCCGGAGAATGCGATGTGTACGAGGATGATTATGTTTTTCAAAAGCTCTTAGAACTAGAGAATTAGACGAGGGTGTAGGATTTGCTCGCTCAAGCATGTAACATTACCAATATCAATTTGTAAAGCATTGAAGTCCACCAAAATTTGAGATGCTGAGAGTAAGTACCCCGCAACGCCCCCACTTGGCAGGGTGCCGAAAGCTCTGTTTACCTCATAAGAAAGGTCTGAAAAACGGCTTCCGTGACTCGCACAATTTCTATCTTCTTGAGAACTTTAATCAGCTAAGTGTCGTGGGTGGAGCAAGTTGGATCAGTCATAGGACTTGGCGTTGAAAGCTTTATGTTTGTGTTTCGGTGGGTGGGGTACCAAGAAGTGGGAGTATGAGTAGTTAGTGGCTTGCTAGACGGAGAGCGCGGTGGCATATTCCCATCTGCGCGCAGGGGTTTTTTAATGTCAAATTATAGTCTATTGGGGCGGAGCCAGGGGTCATAAGTACTAAGTATTATCAGTGTTGATAGCTTCTTCTAGTCATCCGACCGGCAACGCTTGTTGAATCTGGGCGGTTAGAGTCGCGAAAGCTGTAGTATGTCCAGCAGGATGAAAGACGTTAGACTCGGATCACAGACGCCCATAAGTGTGGGTAGTGACGTTTTTTCTCTCTGCGGCCATTGTGGCGTGGCGTCCACAAGTTTTTGCCCTACGAGCTGATCTGTAGAAAAATAAAATTTAAACATACCATGCTTACGCGAGAGCTGAGTTTTGGGTTGTCGAAAATAAACCTAGAGAATTTAACGAAGACCTTGCTTTGGAGGTCAAGAAACTGCCTCGTTCAAAACCAAAAAGAAGGGGCAAGGCCCCAAATTATCTGAGGTCATATTCCATAAGGAGAGGTGCACACATACTGAGAAAGCAGGACATCCGAGATTTCTTCGAGATTGCGAGACGGCGGACGGCTGCTGCAGGCCACCAACAGGCGACTTTCAACTTTTGATCTCGACCTCTTTGGTCTTCTTTGCGCCGCTGCGCGCACCGGACACGCACTTAAAAATCATCGAGAAGTATCAAGTGGAATCTGTTTTATCAACTTCTGTTCGTCTTAGGGTGGGGATGCGTTTGTGTGAGGAACAAGCGCCCATTGAGCGCGCAGGATGTGGTGGAGGAGGTCACTGTATCAACAAACGTCTTACATAACGACGAGCTCAGAGTCGGAGTTCTAAAGTCCTTTTGCTTCGCGCTACTCTCTTACACGACATCCTACTATTTTACACGTCTTTGGCATGGTATAATTGCGCCTAGGAAGACACAGCGAGCTCACGTCGTCATCAAGATCCAAACATCGCTCTCCGTCGGGCTCTGCGTCAATCCAGCCCATCCATAGCATCCAACAGCCACGTCGATGGCCTGGTAGTCTTCAGAAGGATGATACAACCTAGGAGCGCCCTGCTTCCACAACTCTGTTTGTCGATGTCGTCGTCGACGATGCTGATCGTCCAAAGCACTAGCTCGCAGCGCGTGATGCACGGCTAGAAGCACATCTTGCACAATGACGACCCCATCGTCGATCCTCGATGGGAACACAACGATGGGCTTGCTGACGAGCGCCATGCGGATGGTTAGAGACCCTAGATTTGGGTTTGATGCCCTCTCATGCCGCCATCGGTCGTCGTCGACGACGTGACGACGGCTTGTCGCGAACGACGGCGGCGAGCGGATGTCGTATTTGATTGGTGGGGTCGTCCCTCGTTCAAGCAATGGGTTGATTGAGGTGCCGTAGCGGGATAGTGGTGGCAGTGGTATGCAGGAATGTGGGTGGAGAGATAAGGGATTGCCTAACGAGGACGGACGACTTGCGGTGTACATCGGCGAGACGAGACGAGCGTACGATGCGGCTGGAGACCCCATCGACACTCCAAAGCCTGAGTTCATGCTCGCGGCTGAGCCGTATGGTTCTGGTGCATGCGCACGGACCACCTTATGGCCATCGCCAGCTGTGGATTGGGACTGCTGCATCGTCGGAGAGGGGATGTATGACGCGTAGGGGTTGTATTCTGGCATCTTTGTCGTCGTTGTTGCCGATGAGGGGGGTCTAATTGGTGATGGTGAGTTCTCCAGCTCGATACATGGACGAGCGATGCTCACGACGCTCTGATTCGGTTCTAGGATCTGTCGGAACGTTTGTCTTCGTGTTTGAATAGGTAGGGTACCAAGGGAGTAGGGCCACGAGAACGTGGTAGTTTGGTTAGAGGAAGAGCGGGAGGTGGGGATTTTTCCATCCGCGCGTGGTGAGTGGTTATATTATCTGCTATGGCCTGTCCTGTTGGTTCTTATTTGCCGTACTGCCATCATCAGGGTCGAGTTTCGAGCGCTAATGGTAATCTGGCTGAGGCCGAGGGGGTCACAGAAACTTTTCTTTTTTCTTTTCGCCGTGGGCTAGCTAGATCGTTTCTGGCCTCTACAATTTTTGGTTCCTGTTGTCGTATCACCGATAATATGTAGTGTTTTCCGTCGGTTTCCACTACTTCTTATCCCACTAGCAAAATAACCAGACTGACTTTCTATGCGAGTCACCTAGGTGTTTCACGAGTGGCGACAAAACTTAATATCGTCGTAGCGGGTCAAGCTGTAGCATAAGTCGCCTTTACATTTAAAGCCCTGAAGTGTTGACTTGCTAATCAACTACATGGCCACGGCATTCATTCATCATCATAATGTGTGTTCGATTCGAGATGGATGTTACAGTATAGTAATGATTTCTTTGGGCAAAGATGTCTCGATGCTGGACATCATCTTTAGAATTTTACCCAAGCTCGAAAGGCACGGACAGAGTCGCATAATGTTAGAGAAATTGGCCACGAAGTTTTACGCGTGAGCGGATGCAGGAATTAAGTAATGTCGAAGGAAGAACGCCCTGCAGGCCTTGACTTGGTGTTACATACGTCCGATTTTGGACCATATACTCCAAGGGTGTGCCCCTGGAAAGCAACTGGTTCCTTTCATTATTTCCTGGGCGACAATAAAGAAAGTCTTATAATGCCGAACGGGTATTAAATTGTGAGAGCATTAACACATGTACTTCAATGAGAAACAATCGTGTTGGGTACTGCGCATTGGTGGGTCGACACCTACATGGGCCGCGCCTGAACTCTACCGTCTAGAATATGACGTATAACATACCCCAGTTATTTCGAAGCCGTGCGATGTATATTCCTTTGGAAGTGTCATGCTCCAGGTGAGTGCGAATTTCTAGTAGATAGTCTGTTTCGAATTTAGTTATGTTTGGATAGGTGAATACCGGCAGGATACCTCACCACGATATTTCACCACGATATTGCTCAAGATGCTTGCAAGATGCTCTTGTAATTATGGAGTTGATCAGTGAAAGGCATCCAAGGTGTCCACCCGAGCCAATGTTGACGGACAAACTTTGGAATTTTGTTCGTTCTTTTTAGCATGCAAATCCTTTGAGTGGCCCGGACATGAAAATGGTTCCCACTGCAAGAGGTTGTGACGAGTATGACCAGGTTGAGGAGGCTTCACGTGGCAGAAAAACTTGCGCGCACTTAGGCATCATCAAAAGGTGTACCGTTAAACCGTACTTTCCTTCTGAATTTTTGCTCGTCCTATGGTGAGCATGCGTTTGTGTGGAAAACAAGAGCGCAGGGTGCGGGGAAAGAGGTTGGAGAGAGGCATATTTACAAGGGTCTTATAATTACATAACGAGCTCAGAGTCGGAGTTCTAAAGTCCTTCTGCTTCCTACTACAAACTTACACGACATCCTACTTACTATCTCACAGTCCTTGGTCATTGTCTAATCGTGCCGACGAAGACACAGTGAGCTCACGTTGTCATCAGAATCCAAACATCGCCCTCCGTCGGGCTCTGCGTCAATCCAGCCCATCCATAGCATCCAAAAGCCAGGTCGATGGGCTCGTAATTTTCAGAGGGGCGGTACGACCCAGGAGCGCCTTGTCTCCATAACTCTGCTTGTCGACGTCGATGTCGACCATGCTGATCATACAAGGCACTAGTTCGCAGCGCGCAGTGCACGGCGAGAAGCACATCTTGCACAGTGATGACCCCATCGTCGATCCTCGATGGGAACGCAACGATGGGTTTGTTGACAAGCGCCGTGCGGATGGTCAGAGATTCTAAGTTCGGGTTTGATGCCCTCTCATACCGCCACCAGTCGTCGTCGACGAAATGACGACGACTCGTTGCGAACGACGGCGGCGAGCGGATGTCGTACTTGATTGGCGAGGTCCTTCCTCTTTCAAGTAGTGGGTTGATTGAGGTGCCGTAGCGCGATAGTGGTGGCAGTGGTATGCAGGAATGTGAGTGGAGAGATGGGGCATTTCCCAACGAGGACGGACGTCTAGCGGTATGCATTGGCGAGACCAGGGGAGTGTACGAGGTGGCTGGAGACCCCACCGACACCCCAAAGCCTGAATTTGTGCTCATGGCTAGGCCGTATGGTTCTGATGCATGCGCACAGACCACTCTATGACCCTCGTTAGCTATGGATTGGGACTGTTGCATCGTCGGAGAGGGGATGTACAACGGGTAGGGAATGTACGCTGGCATTTTAGTCCTCATTTTTGCCAATAATGGGGTCTAACTCCTGGGGGTGAGTCCTCCAGCTCGATACATGGCCGAGCGGTGCTCACAATGCTCTGATTTGGTTCTAGGGCCCGTCAGAACGTTTATGTTCGTGTTTGGGGGGGTAGGGTATCAAGGGGAGTGGGGCCACGATAAGGTGGTGGTCTGGTAGAGGAAGAGCGGGGGTGGGGATATTTCCATCCGCTCTCAGTGGGTAATAATATTATCTGGTGAGAATAGCCTGTCGAAAGTACCCAATCATCAACAGGTCAATATTGGCTGTCTGCCACTGGTGCCCAGCCACGACTGTGTGATGGTTGATTTGTTGTCATGATTTGCTTTGTTCTTCCTTGTTCTAGATCATGCATGAATTTTCCATGGCTCTCTCGAAGTATCCTGAGTTATCAGCACAGCACCCTACCTGTAAAACATAAATAAAATTTATATCAACGCCTATCCTCACCTCACCAGGGCTTTTGATTGGCTCTTCGTCGTTATCTGGTTCCCACTTGTCAAGAGTTGACCGTCCCCGACTCTAAGGAGGGTTCTGTCAAACGCGAACGACTCTCTACTGAATTGAATTTGAATAGCTCCAATTGCGATTGCTAGAAAATTCTATCGGATCTTGAAAAGTGTCTACTTATGGGAATACTGTGTTGTCGGATCTCAAAACGTTACCTGAGTTTTCCGGACGAATCCATGATCTTCGTTCGGAGTCAAAAAAGTCAAGAGATGTGTCTGAGATTGGAAGTAGAGTTTGAGCGAAGGTTCTGGTCTGCCTTCGCGTAGCTATGTAGATTGGAAACGATGTAGGCAAATCGGATGCCATGGCACTCGCGTAGCCAAAGACGAGACTGTCCTCGTCGTGGAAGTCGTGGTCTGCTGCAAGGTTTACGTAGGATGCTAGAACTGACACTATTCGATTGTCGTTATATGATTGTACATCGGACCTATTGTTTGCCATACGAAGAGCCAAAAAAAACGAATTCTGAAGCAGACGCCATCCCAGGCCACGATATCACTTGGAGATGGCGTAGGCTGCGAGTCGCGACTATCGACGTTGGTAGAGAATAACGTCGTCGTAGCTATCTATCATTGAACATGATTATCGCCCACTAAAAAAAAAGAAAAGAAGAGTCGGGGACCGGGCGGGCTCGCCCGCCGCTAAAGCATTTAGTATCGCCCGAGCGCTTATGACAATTCGTAGGCCGCTGCTGGGGGGTTAAAGATAAAACTCTCCTCGTCTTACAGTATCTCGCTATGGGCTATATAGCTAGTTAAATCGTTTCTGGCCTCTGCATTTTTTGGTTCGGTTTGTCGTATCACCGATAACACGTATTATGTTCCGTCGGTCTCCACTGTCTCTTATCCGACTTCCAAAAAAACAACAAGACCCTTTGTACAGAGACTCACATTCTACGTGAAGTGTCTCATGAAGGCGACAGAATTTAATCGTAGTCGTAGCAGCTACAGTAGCACAAGTCACCTTTGCATTTGAAGCCCTGAGGTGGTGACTCGCTGATTAACTGCGAGATAGGTGTTACACTCCAGTGATAATTTGAACGGACAAAAATGTTTCGATGCTGGACATCATCTTTAGAATTTAAAAAAAGACAACTACTCACTCAGGACGGCCTGAGCTGGAGAGTGTCAGAGAAATCGGCCGCGAAGATTTACGCGTAAGCGAACTTGAATGCAGGAATTAATGTGGAAGATTTCGTCGGTAAGACGTAAATTGTCTAACATATGTAACAGGGTTACAACGGAGTCGGAGATTGGTGCTTGCGCGGCTAAGTGAAAGGGTATGTATGCCAGGGTCTGTCAAAGATCTACGGCTATTAACGCTGAATCTACTCATACGCTGAGCCACTCACGGGCAAGTAAGTCTTGACAGGGTGCACGTTTCGTCAGGTGTATCACGAGCATTTGTGGGAAAGGTTTTCGAGAGCTGTCCAACGTGTTAACCGAGTTTTTAGTGAGTCAAAATTCAGGCATGACAATGTTGAAGGATACTCACTGTCTTCATTGGAAAATATATACCGAGACGTACCAACCCTCACATCAGCTAACTTGATATGAGCGTTTCCCCACGTATCTGAAGCGTTCAGGTCTCCGCTTGGGAGAGGATGGGGAGTTGCGCGAGACTGAACGCGCAATATATGACTGTTGGAAACCATCCCAGCGGACCTCTCAAGAGGGTCACTAAAGTTTGCAGAGACCAAGGATGACAAGAACAGGCTATCAGGATATTAGCGGGCTTAACGTCTATATACGAGGATGAAGTACTTCTCGAAGGATAGCTGTTAGACCAACCAGTATGAATAATGTTGCACTCATTGTGCAGATAATGGATGGCCGATATAAGTCGTCGGATGATAGGTTGCGGGAGGCCCGCTGGCCCGAATGAATGCAAATCTTCAGGTCAAGTGCTTGTCACCAGGAAGAGGTGTTTTACATTTGGCCCGTGATGGTAGAAGCGATCTCGAAGCTGAAGAACATGCGAGCGGCCAGGGTGAAGAGAAGAACCATTGGCACGCATTCGTTGGAGGTAATCGAGTTCACGAAGTTGTTCGGCACCCGTCGCAGATCCTACGCGGTCTGGCTTTTGAGTGAGGCGAGAAATATGAAGCTTCCGAAGGCATATCTGTAAACAATTTGAGAGTTCCTAAGGCCGACGACGTATCGCTAAACGACGAGCACCATGATGCGAAACAGGTGACATTGTTGACATACTTGTTTTATTGAACATGCCACACAGGAGAGTAAGCACCCCACCCGAGGTTCTTGAGAATGCGATTCAATGATGGAAAACCGCCCAAAACTTGGTGGCATGATATGATGCAAAAAAGTGGTTATCACGTGCCACTCCAACTGAACGTCTGAAATCAAAGCCAATGACTCTCACAACTGTTTGACTCACCCAATGTCTCAACCATTTCGTGTTTTCCAACTCCAACCACCCTTACATTGCGTAGGATGTCGACAGCTCATTTCCAAAGCGCTGTCGACCTTTCAGACGATATCTCCGTTGTCGACAACGACATTCTGTTTCCTCGGACCCCCTTCAGACATACCCTGGAATCCCTTTCTTCAATATTTACTGACGTCGATCCTGCTTATCTTGCTACCATCATAAGCCATCAATTTTTTGCTGAAGATCTCCATCGGTTGGATGGAAGCTCGAATTGTCTCGATATTACGGATACGAACGATTGCGACTTCGACGACCACGCACGCCATTTGCTCAACTCCGTGATCTCGCCTCTTTGCGTATACTTCACAATTCTTTCGACCTTCTACAATGAAGAACCGTCAATCCCCCAGGTATTTTTCCAATACCTAAAAGAACTTCAACACATCGCTGCGGAATTCGAATGGGAAGCGGTTTTTGAATACCACACGATCTTTTTCAATCGCTGCGTTGATGCGATGAGGGAATACCATGATTTCTCCGCATGGGGAGTTCCTGATATTCCACTGATGAGTTTCTACATACGAGACAAGGCCCCTCGAACCGACGTCTTTGGATCTGACGACAACCAAACTTTGTTTCCGATCCGAGAGGAGGCTGAGGAAGAGTATGGATCGCCTCCTAGGTCGAGTAGGTCGTCGCCGCAGAGGGCGTTGACGTGAGTCCTCATTCTCAATGATGATTATTCTTTTTTCACTGTGTCCCCTACAGCATCATTCTGCGGCGAACTTTGGACACTTGTCTTGATGACTGGAATGACCTTCAATTTGTCTCGTACACGAAGTACACTATAGATGATCGCCTCGATTTGTGCAATCTTCCTGTAGGAAACCCCGGAGAACCATTCGGCGTACGTCGACCTAATAAAAATGTTTCATCTTGGCTCACACTTTTCAGGCACTGGAGACCGTCTGTCTCGAATACTCCGTCAACGCGGGAGATTCCAATCAAACGATATCGGTGTCTGACATCGCCGAACGATTTCTATCATACGAGGGTGACGATTACCCGTACCTAACTGTCATCAGTGAGATTAATTCTCAATAACTCTTTGATTTCTTCTCATTGTAGTATTCCAGGATTCAAAGATCATTGTGAGGCGATGGACAGGGCATGGAACAGAGGCATGGCAGCCCGCCCTATCGAGGCGCACTGCACTCCGAAGGAAATTCCACCCCAGGTTCACTTTCCGGAGAAGCGCTGGACGCGTCGTACGCAGGATGACCCGCCCCATATCAAGCGCTGGACAATTTCCGTTCGATCCTGGCTTAAACGCCAAGTGAAAAATCTTCGGCCCCCAACGAAGCGTGCTAGACATGTCCTTGCCTCGCTCGTACGGCGGAATTTATATAATAGGAGCATGGACTCCCTCGGTTCCTTCCGCTCTCTGGATTCCGACGTGACGATCAAAGTTACCCCGAACATTTTGCGTCGAAAGTCTAGTATCCTGAGCTTCAAAACTCTAATATAGGTGGACAATCTTACGAATAGTCTGGACGGAAATATGGACTCGTGATTTCTGTGTGGTAGGATTTTTACCGTTGCTTTCGAACCATTTCGTTCCTCCAATTTATTTCGGACTAGTATTGTTAGACTTTTGTCGGTAGATTCTTTAATATTTCGTAGTCGTAAAGACTTTTTTCTTTCCGTCAATACTATAGACACTTACCTATGTAGATAATACCATCTTCCAAAGAACATTGTAGCGGGATTTTTTTTTTTTTTTTTTTTTTTTGTGTCCGATTTATGTCTATTGGGGCGAAGCCCCATGTCAGACCTTACAACTAATGTAGACTACCTAAGGCCCCAATGCCTATAATTCCTAACCCCCTGAGGCCGTCTCATGCACTGGTGGCGGCACGCCCTTGGCGACCATTCCCCCACACAGCCCGGCACAGAAACGCCGTTTAGAAACGCGCCTCGTATGTAGCGGGATTTTGTTCGGTGGACGGGAGTTGATTCTGGGTACACTTTATCAGACAAGTGAAAATTCCCGTCAACTGAACGAGTTCGATAGTGCAAAATAATTTACGAGCAAGCTATGCCGGAGTATCTATCGAAGGAACATGTAAGAGTGCAGGATGTATTGTACAAAATCGTTGTGACTACTATGTATCTGATAATCTTTCGAACCAATTTTATAATTGAGCAAGAACGGCTTTGGCTGCAGTAATCGTCACGTCGGGGGGAGCAACTTCAACCGCAACGCTGAGGACTTTATCTCCCTCCGTCACGATCACGAATCGCTACGAAAAAAAAATTGTAAACCGTCAAACGCAAAATGTTCAGGGAGGCGGCGGTGTACCTTGGACCTCTGGCCTCCAAGAAGAGGCGTCGCGTCGAAAAGGAGTCCCAACGAACCAATGAAAGCCGCTTTATCGTCGGCGATGAAATGGATGGCTACATATTTGAAGGGAGATAAATAATCGTCTTCGAATATTTTTGAGAAGTCACTCACGCGTTCCTTGAGGAGCCAATTTCTCCTTCCATGCTCTAGAAAAATGGCCAAGTGTAATCCTACGTACCTCACGGAATACTGTCGACGTACTTGGTCACGAACACATCATTCACGCCAACCACATAAATCTCATTGATCCCCTTATTTTTGAACTCCTCATAGGTCTCAATGTACGCCGGGATGTGAGCATTGCAAGGCGTAGTGAACGCGCCCGGAACGCCGATCTAGAAGTCCATCCCATGTTAAAAGTTCTTCAACCGCAACGATCACGAACAAAAAGAATCGATGCCACGCACGATGATATTCTTTCCAGTCAAGACCAAAGCGGACGTCTTGTCCGGTGCATCTTCCTTGATCTCCTGAGCGGGGATGACGGCGCCTGGCTGGATCTGGGCGTCTGCGATAAGGGAAGAGGCGACGTTGTGTGCTGCGTGTGCGATGGTTGCGATTGCGGATGCCATGATTGGGTGTGATCAGATGTGGATTACGGTGGAGGAGAAGGAGGGCTTCACGGGAGGCTGGAGCTTCGAACCCAATCAACATCGGAGATTGCCTCAGGATGACACCATAATTTCTCAGCGTAGGATTCAGGTGCGTGCCTGCTTCTCAAGAATTCAGGGCTTCAGACGCCAGTGTGGGGACATGCTGGGCTGATCACGCCTTTTCACTACTACGTCAGTTCCACCGCCACACGTTGAAAAAAGAGGGAATGGAATGGAAGATCGAGGGAAGACCAAGCACAGATGTCATGGATAAATCCAGCCTAGCCTCTCCAGGGCGTCGAGGGCTGAAGCGCTGAAGCCGAAGCCCTGCGACTCCGCGCAGTCAAGCTCAAGTTTAAAAGTTCTGTAGATCCAACGCCACAAAACAGTACAATGGGCTGACAATGGGAGTCGTGCATGGAATCAGCCTAATCTCTACCAGTTATGGTTTCGCTGATCATGCCTACGATCGGATTTCAGGCATGAAGCTTTGAAGAGCGATGACGATAATGAATGAATGCCATGATCATGAGTCACCACTTCAGGGCTTCAAATGAGTTACGACTACGACTGAGCTCTGTCGTCACTCATGAAACACTTAGAATAGACCATGACCCGCGTAGAAGGTGAGTCTCTAGGCAAAGAGTCTTGTTATTTTGGAGGTCGGATAGAAAGAGTGGAGACCGACGGACCACAATACGCGTTTATCGGTGATACGACAACTGGTACTGAAGATTGCAGTGGCCGAGAAGACCAAAAAAGTTGGAGGCCGGCGATCTATCATAAGCGCTGGGGTGATACAGGAACTAGGACCCCGGGCAATAGCAGGAAAGCCCTGGTCCCGATCCGGACAAAAAATGTGGATTTTAGGCCCTACAGCTGGGGGCCAATCCGGACAAAAAGTGACAAAATTCGAAACTGCCCAGAGCCAGAGTCCGGACAAAATCGACGAGATGTCAAAAAAAAAGCCTCCCAGCCGGTATTTGGGCATAATTGTGGGACATTTGTAGAGAAAAATTTACCCTGATCTGGCCGTCCGGACAAATTTTTGAGATTGGGGTGTGGTAGGCCAGGTCCAGTCCGGACAAATTTGGTGCAGAGGCGTCCGGACAAAAACCCAATTTTCGGGATCAGGCCTTTTCTGCTATTGCCCGGGGTCCTCAGGAACTCCGCGAGTGGGGACCAAATGATGACGGAAAGCCAATCAGGAGCCCTGGCGGCTACGCATCTCCGCCCGTGCTCGACCTGATCTGTGGAACGTGGACGATCGTGGCTGGGTAGTCAATATTGTCCTGTTGGTTGTTATTTGCCATACTTTTGACAGGCTCGCGTCCGGGGCTCACCAGATAACATAATTACCCACTAGGAGGGGATGGAAATATCCCCACCCCCGCTCTTCCTCTACCACCACTACCTTCTCGTGGCCCTACTCCCTTGGCACCCTACCCCTCCAAACACGAACACAAACGTTCTGACGGGTCCTAGAACCGAATCAGAACATTGTGAGCATCGCTTGGCCATGTATCGAGCTGGGGTACTCACCACCAACTAGACCACATCATTGACAACAACGACGACCAAAATGCCGGCGTACAACCCTTACGCGCCATACATCCCCCCTCCGACGATGCAACAGTCCCAATCCACACCTAACGAGGGTCATAAGGTGGTCTGTGCGCATGCATCAGAACCGAACGGCCCAGCCACGAGCATGAATTCTGGCTTTGGATGGTCGATGGGATCTCCAACCACCTCGTACGCTCCCCTCGTCTCGCCAACGTACATCGCAACTCGTCCGTCCTCGATGGGCAATCCCCCACCTCTCCACCCACATTCCTGCATACCACTGCCACCACTATCCCGCTACGGCACCTCAATCAACCCACTACTTGAAAGAGGGACGACCCCATCAATCAAATACGACATCCGCTCGCCGCCGTCGTTCGCGACAAGCCGTCGCCACCTCGTCGACGACGACCGGTGGCGGTATGAGAGGGCATCAAACCCGAATCTAGGGTCTATAACCATCCGCACGGCGCTCGTCGGCAAACCCATCGTTGTGTTCCCATCCAGGATCGTCGATGGGGTCGTCACTGTGCAAGATGTGCTTCTCGCCGTGCACTACGCGCTGCGAGCTAGTGCCTTGGATGATCATCGACATCGACGAGCAGAATTGTGGAGGCAAGGCGCTCCTAGGTCGTATCGTCCTTCTGAAGATTACGAGTCCATTGACGTGGCTGTTGGATGCTATGGATGGGCTGGATTGACGCAGAGCCCGACGGAGGGCGATGTTTGGATTCTGATGACGACGTGAGCTTGCTTTGCCTTCGTCGGCACGATTATACCATGGCCAAGGACTTGTAAAGTAGTAATCGTGTAAGATGGTGTGTAACACGAAGCAAAAGGACTTTAGAACTCCGACTCTGAGCTCGTCGTTATGTAAGACGTTTGCTGATGCCTCTTCGCCACATACTGCACGCTCAATGGGCGCTTCTTCCTCACACAAACGTATGCCCACCATAGGAGGACCAGAAAATCAAATGGAAAGTACGATTCAATAGTGCACCTTTTGATGATATCTAAGTGCGCGCAACGAAAGGTAAAGAGGTCGAGATCTAACGAGCTCGGTTGAAAGTCGCAGGCCGCCGTGTCCGAGTCTTGAGAAAACCTCGGATTCCCTGACTCCTGACTTCTCAGTATGTATATACTTCTTCTAATGGAATACGAGTTCAAATAATTATGAGGCTTTGTCATTTCTTTTTGGTTTCGAACGACGCATTTCGTTGACCTCCCAACTCCATTCAACTCTATCTCATTCATCTCACGTTCCGTAAGTGCACATATATTTCCGACAACGCGAAATTCAGCTCACGCACGAAAATATCAATCACGGTTATCACCTATCCAAGGATTAAATTTGACCCAGACCATACATAGGTCTCGATCTACGCCGGGATGTGAGCATTGCAAGGCGTAGTGACGCGCCCGGAACGCCGATCTATAAGTCCATCCCTTGTTAAACGTTCTTCAACCGCAACGGTCACGAAAAAAAAATTCATAAGCCACGCACGATGATATTCTAAATTCTTCCCAGTCAAGACCCAAGGGGACGTATTGTCCGGTGCATCTTCCTTGATCTCCTGAGCGGGGATGATGCCCATCTGGGCGTCTGCGATCAGGGAAGAGGCGGCGTTGTGTGCGATGCCTGTTGAAAGTCGCCTGCCACCAATGGCAGGCCGTCATGTCCAAGTCTCGAGAAAACCTCGGACGTCCTGGCTTCTCAGTATGTATGTACCTCTTGTGATGGAATAAGATCTCAAATAATTTCAGGCCTTGTAGGAACAATATTTGGAACTACGGCTACCGTCGCCGAACTCACAAAAGCGCTGGGAGATGGAAGCAGTTGACCGTAATCAAAGGATTTCAATAGTCTGTCTGACAGCCCATTCAGCAATGAGCCATCGGATGGCGGATGGTAGCCAATAATCTCCCTGAACTCTTAGTCAGTCATGTCACTAGCACTGGCAGTACACAACCAATGATCACCCCAAATCGCTTGAGGAACGACATTGCAACGAGCAGAAATGCCCTCGACGACGTCAGCTGTTGGTGAAGTGGTGGTGATTCCCCTCGTCTACTTGGCCCTTACTGAATGACTAATCTACAGCTCATGTCAATGTGCTTCTCTAGATCTGGAAGGTTTGAACGAGAACAATTTGGAGATGTTCGGTGCTCCCATGCTCAGCTGATGATGTGCATGACAGCAGCCAATGATCTCCCCAAACTTAGTCAATGATATGCTGCAGTAGCCAGCAATCTCCGCGAAATCATCGGCCAGTGAGGTAACTGACCAGCTCTTGTGGACCTATTTACCGTACCCGCTGATCTAAGACTGGGATACTGTATAAACCAATGGGATTAGCTGCTCAAAGCAGGTAATGATCTGCCGGATCGCAGCGAAAGGGGAAAGAGGGAGGTTAAAAGCGCCCAATGGCACTGAGGCTTGATCCTGAAAAGGCACCTTTCGTCCGGACCTCTGAGAGGTTGAGCCAGTTTGTCCGGATTGCACCTGGCCTCACCGAAATATCGGGGGTCATGCATCATGGTTTATACAGTTCATATAAGTACACACATGACCCCTGGCATGCGACTAAGATATCGGATCCCTGAAGACAGACAGGTTCTCCAAAAATCTAGAGGGTCGTCGAGACCTTTTTGAACCGCATTATCGAGAAACGTCCAAATGGGGATCTAATCCGGGCAGAACGTCAGGGTTCCTACCACTCTCGTCCTTCCGGGCAGGGTCGATGTGTCCTGTTGGAGGGTCGCGCACTTCAGAATCTCAGCAGATAATATAACCTCACGGGCGGATAGACATAACTCACCCCCACTTTGTCTCTACCAGTTACCACCTCTCGAGGTTTGATTCACTTGAGACCCCATCCATCCCAACACAAACATAAAGCTTCCAACGGGTCCTAAAACCAAATCGAATTATTGTAAGCATCACACGGCGGTGTATCAGGCTCAAGAGCTCACCGACACCAATTAGGCCTCCATCATCGAGGATAATGACGACCAAAATGCCAGCGTACAACCCCTACACGCTGTACATCCCCTCTCCGACGATGCAGCAGTCCCAGTCCACGGCTGTCGAGGATCATAAGGTGGTCTGTGTGCATGCACCAGAGCCATACGGCTCAACCATAAATATGAATTCGATTTTTGGAGGGTCGGTGGGGTCTCCAACTAACTCGCACACTCCCCTCGTCTCGCCAACGTACATCGCAAGTCGCCCATCCTCGTTAGGCAATCCCCGACCTCTCCACCCACATTCCTGCATACCACTGCCACCACTATCCCTCTACGGCACCTCAATCAACCCATTACTTAAAAGAGGGACGATCCCACCAATCAAATATGACATCCGCTCGCCGCCGTCGTTCGCGACAAGTCGTCGTCACCTCGTCGACGACGACCGGTGGCGGCATGAGAGGGCATCAAACCCGAATCTAGGGTCTCTGACCATCCGCACGGCACTCGCCAGCAAGCCCGTCGTTGTGTTCCCATCGAGGATCGTCGATGGGGTCGTCACTGTGCAAGACGTGCTTCTTGCAGTGCACTACGCGCTGCGAGCTAGTGCCTTGGACGATCAGCATCGTCGACGAGCAGAGTTGTGGCGGCAGGGCGCTCCTAGGTCGTATCATCCTTCTGAAGATTACGAGGCCATCGATGTGGCTTTTGGATGCTATGGATGGGCTGGATTGACGCAGAGCCCGACGGAGGGCGATGTTTGGATTCTGAAGACGACGTGAGCTCGCTGTGTCTTCGTCGGTACGATTATACCATGACCAAGGACTTGTAAAATAGTTGGATGTCGTGTTAGGAAGCAGAAGGATTTAAGAACTCCGTCGTTATGTAACATTGTAAGGCGTTTGTTGATGCGCTTGCCCTGCGCGCTTGTTTCCCACACGAACACATGCCCACCTAGACTCGAGCCAAGTCCCTTTTTGTAAATTGAAGACAGTCGTTCAATCGATTACCGTAGGGACTGGAAGATTTGATGTGTGATCTAGTACAGTACAGAAAATTCCCACGAATTACGAGGACTTAGCCAAATTTCGCTGAGCTTTGAGTGAGCCTGCGACGCGATGTCTGGCCCAGAGATCGTTTTGGACCCTGATCGCCTTGCCTCAACGTCTCGAAGACTTTGCGAGACGTTTGGTATTCCATTCCTCCACCCATTCCAGATCGAAACGGGCCAAAACATCTTACAAAAACGCAGCACAATCCTTGACGTACCAACCAGGTCCGGCAAGACGCTTGCGTTTTTCTACGCGCTTTTCTACTACTGGTGGCCTGGGAATACCGAACGCGACTCCTGCCAGAAGAAGATCATAGTCATCATCAGTCCACTTGTTGCGTTGATGCAAGCACAGGTGAGTTACTCCGTGATCCCCGCATGTGAGGCCCATCAGCAAAAGTTCGGGTTCCACGTAAGGCCATAAATGGCCATGAGAGGCGCCAATAGGCCATGAAAGGTTAGCCCCCCTTCTATGGCCAAGGTTGGAACCTCGGCTTACATCCCTGGTGATAGGCCTTGCATGGCACCGGTTTCTTGCATGGCTCCTGACACCATGCGAGGCCATACTAGGCCATCCTAGTGAACCGTTTCCATACAATCTTAGCTAGATCTTGAATTCTTATTTTAAATTCTGATCACTTCATATGAAATACGGCGAAATAAAACATGTATTTCTTGTAGCATCTAATACAAAGTCTGAAAACGACACAAGAATGGCAGGCAGCAAGAGAAAAGATTGGAAGGATGGAGAAAAAAAAAGAAAGCAATATGTACATGCGGAAGACCGTGAGCAAGTGGGTGACATAAAAAACAGTAGTCTGGAAGATTGATCAATGAGCCAGTGTAGAGTCGAAGAAAAGCGAATGAAAACACCTTGAGTAAATGTTGGCAGTTATCGTTCTCTTCGATGTCATGCCGCTCGTCTTCTGCTTAGACGACAGAGGCATGCGAGGTGAGCCGTCGTCATCACCAGTTGAAACCCTTTACTCCTCACATCGCTCTCTTGGCTGATTAAGGCTACTCCTGCGATGTAGCCGCTTACCATGGAAACCGCCAGTATATGCGTCTTGAGGAGACGAATCAGGATGATCATGACAATGACACTCAGCATACCTTCTCAACGGGCGTTGACGAGAGGTGAAGTTGCTCACCATCGGTGGTGGTGGCGTGCGAAGAGTTGCGGTGATGGCTGCGGCTGCGAGGAGCTTGCGTGTAACCAAGGCGACTTTGACTGCTATGGCGCGGAGGGTGGCAACGACTCGGAGGGCATATCCCCTGCATGTGTGAATTGGGTACAAGGGGACGATACGGTGCTAACGAATGCATTGTTAGCAAATTACTACCTAGAGAGTCATAAAGCGTGTACATACCGTGCAAATCCAGTCTCCCAAGCGATATGACATCGTTTTGACGGTATCGACCAATAATCCGCGCCGTCATCGGCCTGGGCATCGGGGAAGACACCAAGCATTCGAGCACTGTCAGAATTGGAAGATACATCACATATATGCGCATGTATGCCACGAAAAACACTTACTTGGCAAGAGAACGCGTAGCAAAGCATCGGCGTAAACGGTAGTCGATTGAATACCTACATTGGAAAGTCAAATCTTTAAGATAAGTAGCATATATGCTCAGATAATTACTCGCTCGCTCAGAGAATCTGCGCCCATGATGTCTCCTTCTCAACACCAGACAATACAAGCGAATCGCTCAAGCTCACTGCGGTGTCGCTGAGCGGGGTACAGCACAGCCAGGAGTTGTAGCGTCGAGCCGTCGTCGTCGTCGTCGCCGGGAGGGAAGGAGTCAGGAGCGGGGGAGCGGGGAGGCGGTGGTGGTGGTCAAGAACAGAGAGCAAAGTTCCAGTGAAACGCGTGATTAGTGTCATGTGATCAATTAGATAAGTCCAATCAAAGTCCGACGTACCTCTACATCGCTTTCATCGCTTTACTTCACACCACAGTACCCCGTCGTATGTTCGTCACAACCCACCTCGGTGAGACACAGGACGACTACGGAACAACAACGTAAAACGACAATGACACAGCGAGGAGGACGCGAGGAGGACACGGTAAGCTCACCTCACCCCCACCACTCGTCTCTCTAACACGGAATCCAGGTGCCACGTCGCTGACAGCGACATGTCAACCACACGACGACGAACGGCATGTGTATTTCAGGACACCAAGGTAAGTACCCCTGTCTCACGTTCGTCCCAACACAGCTCGCTGAGACTCAGGACAACGACGGAACGATGATGTGGGACAACGACGACGCGACGATGAAAACACAAGACGAGGACACGGGATGAGGACGTGACAGCGACAAGGACACGGGATGGCTATGAACCGATGACGAGGGCACGCTATAATCCAGGTGAGTAGCAACATGACTTCGCTCTCTCTCCTTTTTTCACACCAGAAGCAGGGGCGATGGACGGTGACGACGCATTTTGTCGTCACTGTTCATATTATTCCGGGTGAACATCATGACTCCCCTCCCCATCTCCTACCAACGGCGACGTGGCGACCAACAACAGATCAACAACAACGACTATGGACAACGAATGACGAAGAAGGGTGACAACAAAGATGATCGGCAACAAATGACCACGACCACCACCAACGATGATGAATAACCCCCCGAGAACGAACCATGACCGCCAACGATAACACGAATGACAACTACAACGATGACAACAACGATGACCGACTACGACAACGACAATGGATTTAGTTATAGTAGTTGTTAGTATGTTCTCAATATGTCTAGAATACTTTTTCAATGTTTAGTGCCGTAGGCATGGTCCTAAACTTTGGTCAATATAACTTAAGAATGGAACAAAAATATTGGTCAACCAAAATAGCTGAATCCTATCCTAGGAGTAGTACAAGCATGCTAGGCCGGTGATAGGCTACCAACCGACATAAATGGATGATAACACCCTCTTAGATACCATACTAGGTTATACTACCCTTTTGCTCTCCATACTAGGCTTTCACGTTCCATCCTAGGGATTGCTAGCCTGTTAAGCCCCATCCAAAGCCACACAAGCGAGATACTAGGTAAGTAGGCCCATACTATATATACCAAATATATACTAGGCCTACCATGGAACGTGAACTTTTGCTGATGATGGACGACTTGATTCTTCAATTCTGCAATTTGAGCTAAAAGAGATGTATTTGTGCTGATTTAAATGATTTTCTATCACGTTCAATCGTTTGGCGTCGTTCAAGGATTGGGGATGGACTTGCCTGGACACCTCTATAAATTGAGCTTCCAAAGTTTCATAATTCCGGACTTGATTTGGGGCAGTCAGAGGGATAATTCCATCCTCGGCAGGGGTACTGTTGTCATTTAATACGACATCCGGATTTGGTGATTGGCGAACGGTACGTTTCGAAGAATCGATTTCACTCGAAAACGCAGAGATACCTTTTGGCGTCATGAGTTTGCAAGTGTCGAGATCATGGTCCTATGGGAATAGACGCCAGATTTTCAGATGCAATGCCCACTATTTGCCAAGCGCCTTCAAATCCAACAGTACATTGCTCATCAGCTTTGTTCGGATATAAAATTCTACAACGTAAAATTGTTACAGATTGTTACTTGCAGGCGGCTTTTATTTATAGAAAAAAATGTCAATGGTGTCCAGTGGTGTCCTCGAACGTCGACACTTGATCTGCGGTTGCTTACTTAGGAGCGTGACGTGATCTTAAAATAGCCATCACCTGTTTGACAACTCTGCTCTCACGATAAGCAGTTTTGAACTTCCTGTTTTCTGGTGATGGCTTTCCGAAACGCAAGCAATTTCTCTGTTTCCACTAATTTGGATTCGGCTGCCGCGTTAGCGGTACACAATGAAATCCTTCGTCGTCTACCGCTTCAAAATGCTCTGAAGTTCAAGCTGGACACCACCAGCAACCGATACTAGTTGGGGATGGCGCATGGTTGGGAAAGGGTCGACAAGGATCTGTATTGTGATTTGTTCGGCCGCAAAAAAAAGGAACTTATAGTCAAGCAGATCCCAGAGCTTCAAGTTTGCCCCCCTCCCTCGCGTCGATTTCCATGGCGCAACAACCATCTAACTCCTCTCAGCCATTTTTGAATTGCACAGGTGACACCGATTCAAGAACGGGCTTGGAGAGAATCGAGCCTACGCGTTATTCTCCGGAATCGAAGCCTACATCACCCCCTATTCCGCACCCCGCTCCAGCTCTTCAGAGCCATCACCTCGCCATCCTTCTCTTTTCCCTCCTTTTGATCATCCTATCGGCACCTATCATTGCTCTTGTTGCATTTACGGGCTTCAAGCCCATTCCAGTGGGCTTCAATGGCTGCCAGGGTTGTTGGAGAATTTCTGTACCAGATTGAGACGCGGCAGTTGCGTTCTACGGCTCTGTTCTTGGTGCAGTTGGCGCGACACTCTTGCATCGGGTAGTCACGTCCATTGCTCAACGCCAGCTCATAACGGAGAAGGGAGCTACGTTACGCATGTTCAGGCGATTGGCAATCCTCGATATCCTTCATCTCGTGCAGACCCGAAGCTCAAGCTTCGCACTGCAACGATCATGGGCCCTTCCCATCCTCCTCGCCACATTTCTTGCAAGCAGCTCCACTATCGCTCTGATTGGCACCCACACAGTGCCAGGCACAATTCGCAATCCTTTGGGCTCAGTCGCACTTGGTCTTCTGAACGATACCCTTTTTTATAAAGCTCCTGATGGTGCACTCTTCCCGGATCTTGTCGATATTGATCCCTCCAATTTTGATGGTCCTGTCGTGAAAGCCGCGACAATAATTTCTCTTCAGGCACTGGGGAAATACGACAGTAATTATGCACAGCAAAATGACCTTTACCTCGGCGGACAAATCGGAAATTCGACGTACGAAGATCTGGATACAGGAGGGATTGGCGTGAATGTCAACTCATACTTGCGCTTCAGTGGGGATGGAGATTTCTTCAATCCCCCTACCAATTATACATTCAGTCGCCTGACCGGCGTTGCCTGGGGTATCAACACAACCGTTCAGTGTACTCCCACCAATGCTTTCACTGTCACCCCACTATCGGTAGCCTTTGGGCATGGAAATATAATACGCGTGTACAACGTCTCGGGACCGGCTTATAATATGGTGTTCTCTTCTCCTCAAGAAAGCATCCAGCCGTACGCATTTACTGTTCTAGCTTCCAACCTTGCCCTACCGTCCAGTCAGCTCAACTCAAATCAGTGGGTCAATCTGGTTGTCCTCATGCCTACCTACCTCGACCAGACAACTTTGGTGTACATGTGCTCGATATCAGCACGTCAATATCTCGCGTCTGTCAGTGTCGCCGGTGTAGGAGGGACCGTGCAGTATTCCCCTCTAGACCAAAGCAAAGATGTCAGCGGACCCCTCCTTTCTCAAGACCAAGCAGCCTTTTTGGAAACACTGATCAATGTCCGAGTGGGAGGCGCGATTGCAGCAGTTATGGGAGACCAGATCATCGATCCCAACTCTACGATACCCACTGAGGGTGTCTTGTCCAGCATCCTAAGCGCAGCCACGCGCATTCGAATGACGGTGCGAAAGCAGCACTATGAACGGGCCAGTGCAAGCATTCCAGGTATATCACTGGACCAGACCTACTTTGAACTTGAATATAACGTCCAGCAAATCGGAAGCGGGCGGAAAGGCTTGTTCTGGCTTTTCCTTCCGATCTTGATATTTCTCACAGGAATTGGGGGATTACTTTTCTCGCTCGCGAGGGGAGAAACGGCGATCGTTGATCTCACGGATCCCGTAGCGATTTCTGCCATTATGGTCGGATCGATTATTCCAGAGCTCGAGGGGAGAAGTTCTGGGAATCCAACTGCTCTTGATCGCGAACTTCTGGATGAAGTGGAGCTAGTTCTGCGCGTCAAGGGAGACAGGCGAATTGAATTTATGACGGACAAGACGTCCGTCGTTAATGCGAAGGAGAAACATTCGTAGATGATTGCTACGAATTTCGCTTCTGAGCGCTAGACAGATGTTGCCGTTTTCCGTAAATGTCCTGAAGTAATGATGAATGGAGCATCACGTTCCCACACTTGCGAATCCCTTCAAACCTTGACATTTATGTTCGCCGTCGAGTGCAACGGTCCTGGACTCCTGTGATAACCACACCCTCTGAAACAGGACCCCGGGCAATAGCAGAAAAGGCCTGATCCCGAAAATTGGGTTTTTGTCCGGACGCCTCTGCGTCAAATTTGTCCGGACGGGACCTGGCCTCCCCTCCAAGTTAAATTTTTGTCCGGACCCCCAGATCAGGGCATTTTTTCGCCCAGCAATGTCCGGATTGGTGGATCTGGCCTCAGCGCTGGCTCAAACAACGTCAAGAGCCTCCCAGGGAGTAGAAAATGGGTATGCAACAAGTAAAATGCATATATTAACCAAATTTTAACACTAAATAGCACTATTAGTACTCTAATCATCAGACTCCTCTCCTCCACCACCTCTTTTCAAGAGTTTTAGGGCTGCTGTAAGTTCTTTTTGCGTTTTGCTAAGCTTGAATACAAAAAATATTGCACAAAAATTACTACGGCTGAATTGCATTACCTTAGGTTCGATCACGCAGCTCGACGACATGGCTCATCATCGTTACACACAGACGACACACGTTAGACCGCTCAGCCACGACAGTTATGTCCGGATACCCGCCTTAGGGCAATTTTCATCTTGTTGATGTTGTCCGGACTCTGAGCTCTGGGCAACTTCGAATTTTGTCGCTTTTTGTCCGGATTGGCCCCCAGCTCTTGGACCTAAAATCCACTTTTTTTGTCCGGATCGGGACCAGGGATTTTCTGCTATTGCCCGGGGTCCTTCTGAAACTCACGATAACACCACCCAATCGGTCATAGCTTTGTAATTATGTTCAGGTCCTCTTGACATGTTGACCCGTGGATCATGACAGATGGATTCAGATAACAACCAACCTAGCGAATTCGAATGACATCGTTGCCAAGCTGCACACCGGGCAAACACCGAGTCAGGCTTGCCCTCTTGACAAGCCTACCCCTCACTTAAAGTCCCTGACCACATAGTAAATACAAGGTCAATTCAATAAGGTAACGTTATTGACAAGGGACTCGCTTGAGGATATCATGACATTGTGCAGGTGGACACTGTTTGAATTCATTTTCCCCATTTTTCGCCGTCCTCAACGATTCTCCGTGTTATTTCTGCAAGGTCTGCGACCTTTGAACCCTTGAGGTATGACCACTTTGGACTATGACAATGACTTGGGTTTGGTCTGAATAATCAATCCTTACAGCCCCACCAAATTCATCTTGACCGGACAACCCGCAAGCAGATAAAAAAAATTCGTTCATTTTCTTACCGTTTAACCTCCGTTGAGCTGCATTGCACATCCTTTCCGGTATTCCCTGACAGGACGTCAAGTATGCCGCGTTCTTCCAGTGCCCTCCAGTTGCCGGCCCTTTTCGTGTTAACCATCACCTTCACTTCTACATTCGCACAGACGAACCGTATATTTCAGTGGCAATTTGCGAACAACGTACGCCGCCAATGCCTATGGGCTGACCTTCATTGACTTTTGCCAAACTTTCCGCAGGTTCTTTCAACTTCTTTACCAACATGCGTCCCATTTTCGATTATTGTGAAACCATTCAATGTAAAACTCAACAATACATCTGGGGTTCCTCCGTATTATATGATTGCGTTTGCGACGGGGGGGACGCCCAGTACAACATTGATCGGGACGAATAATCGCACACTCAGTTGGACGGTTACGGAGCCCGTCGGTGAGTCTACCTGGACGATCCTCAACGAAAACGAACTGACAAATGACAGGAACTCAATTGATGTTGAGTGTGGTAGATTCGACTGGTAGCGCTGGTGGCATCCCGCCACAGCTTTTTCATGTTATCGGTGCGCAAACCTTCTATAACACATGTCATCATTCGGACTGAATTTCAAAAAGCTGGCCAGACAACGCAATGCGTCATTGCGCCTTCAACAACGCCAGAGTTCACTGTCACTTCAAATGTTACAAATGGTTTGACGACCTGCCAACCTTGGGGCCTGTCGGTAAAGGGGGGTGTACCGCCGTATAATCTCACCCTCGCAGCAGTCAATTCACCAATTGTAACCAATGTAACTTTACCATTTGGCGACGATCACTTTACGTACATCAACAGGGCAGACCCTGGCACACAGCTGTTAGGTTCGTACTAACCAGAAATTCATGAGCAGTCAGTCAGCTAATGCCGCTCTCTTGCACCACAGCTGCGGTCAGTGACTTGTCAGTACCTTGAGCAGTGTGTACCGCGGATTTTTTTTCTGATTCTTTCCAATAGTACTGGGCGATGGGCAACAGGAACCCCAATATTACCTACCAAAGGTAATTAAAGACCGTATGAGAGTTCCAACTTCCAGAACCTGACAGCTGTACTTCACAGGCTCTACAGATACCGACTGTGTTGGACTTGTCAGCTCAAGCGGAAATTCAACAATCATTCAAGAACAACAAGAAGCTGCGGCATCAGCCGCAGGTCTCAGAGAGCAGAAAAAGAAAACTTCCATCATCGTCGGCGTCTCCGTCTCTCTGGGCACCCTCCTTTTTTTCGGCGGTCTAACAGCCATTGTTTTCCTCAGGCGACGAGATGGAAATAAACTTAAACCGCGACAATTCCACATGGAAGATTCTATACAAAGGGATTCAACGAACAGGGTTCCAAGCCTGGTGTCTTCCATGATTAGCGAAAAACGCCTTCCTGCCCTTCCAATTTCATCCCTACCTCGTCGTACAGCATCCACCTCAAAGATATCTCTTTCATATCCAACGACACAAGAAGTCCTGAGGGATATCTCCTCAAGGCCCGATGAACTTGGCGATTCGCGACGCAGCCACCAACCGAGCTCCGACCGGAGTCACCGAAATTTTGCAATTGCTGGCTTCCCTGCGCAACCTAGACGAAAAGCAGCAAAGTTCGCTATAGGGACCTCCGTCCCTGAGTACCCACATGAGATTCCTCTTTCAGAGTTGGGGCGTATATCAGACACACCATCTATCAATGGTCCTCGTGGCTCAAACCCGCGTAGGTCCCGCCGTATGCGGTTACTAACACAGGTGGCGGGGTATAGTACGAAAGACCCGCGATACGAGGCAGAGAGAGGGACTGTGTCTCAGCACCGGGACGCAGGAGATGAGCTTCCTCCTCCATACGTGGATTCTCACAGTCGAAGAAGTCGCCCTCCGCCACCTGCTTGACAAGGAACAACTTACTTATACACTTGATCGCCGTTTATTCCCCCTAGTTTTCTTGTTTTCTTGTTTGGCAGTTGCAACATTCATTCCTGGTTCTATAACAAAGGCATGTCAGATTGGAAAATCCTTGACAACGACGTCAAACATCCTTGTCCTAACTGGTGGCCATCAGTTCCTACCAACCTTTGACGTCTGTTCCGATGCCACGTCTGCCAGTTAGTAATGTTATTGGATTGTAAGTACCAGTGCGAGTTTTGTAATTGTTTCAAGATGATCGAATCAACTCCTCAACACCAAGCAACTCACTTTCTTGAACGAAGATGTAAATTTCGTTTCTATTTATCCGAACTGAGAATTGCATTCCATGTCTTCTAGCTGGAAGTTCATACTTGGATACATTGCGGGTCAAGGCTTGGAGTGATCTTCGACGAATTCGTCAAGCAAAGAGTTGCATGCGTTACAAGACTCCGTTGTTAAATGATATATGCGCCGTCCTGATGATCCCATTCAACTGTTGTTCTCTATCAGGATTCCTGTCATCATCAAATCCACAGCAAGCGGACATTTGGCAAGCTCACCAAAACTTGCGTCAATGCGCCGCTGAATTTCCACCAAGCCTCAACCTGACTTTGTCGTGCCCGAATGAGAGAGCCGGACGGCCAAGAGGACAAGACACGCAATAAAGAAGAGACCAGGAAAGAGCGACAACTTTCCAGTCATATTCCGATAAAAAGCAAGCCCGAACGTGGATACCTAAGGGTAGACGATTCGCCACACGGACTAGGATGGAGAGTCGGAAGGGTATCTGCTTCACAGTCGCGGCTAGATAAGCGAGAGGATGACGTGGCAATCGGGTAGCATAAGAAGCATCATCGACGTTGTACTCCATTTGAGAGTAGCTCAACTCCAGGATGTATTAGCGCGGCCTTAATGGAATGAAAATGCACTACACGTGACCGCTGCAACGTATCTTAAGGAGATGGGAATTCGAAGCCGAAAGTGAAGGTGACTTCATACGCCATGTCCTAGCGGTGATAGGTCAGTAGCAAGGAACAACAGCGCACGTATCTCAGCAACATCCTCGACGTCAAGCCTACTCCAACCTCGAGGAGGAAAAGCGAAACGATTGATTATTCTCAAGAGAGGTGCTCGAGGGCACATAAAATACATTACACTCGACCGTGGACAATCATTGCGTTTGGGCGCCATAGCCTCTGATGCCCTCTGCGAATGACCATGACGTATCGAGGCTCTTTGATTCTAAAATCTTCGCGCCCTCTGCTGTAATGGTCGCGACTTGAAACTGGGATTCGAATTAGAGGGTTGTAGGACCAAGAACAAGGGGAGGACATACTTTATTCAAGCTCCTAGCATCTCGATAATACAATACCCTCATGCTCGTCTCGATGATCTCTAGCGCCTCAGCCTCTGTAAGGACGTCTTCTCGTCCCTCGACGGCTTTTCTCAGCAAGGGCTGAGCGATGTATGATCCATAACCTGTAGCCAGTGTCGACGCGGAGTACGTCGTTCCCAACAGGTCGACATAAGCCAAGAACCTGCAGCCCAGTCAGACAGACGTTAGTGAGCCAGAGGAGAACGTACCGCTGTCCATCTTTAAAGCCCCCAACAAGGATCGAGTTCCACAGCGGGTTCATCTTCGTCCGTCTAGCGTATAAGACCTGGGCGAGATATTCGTGGATCTCTGCGGGGCCAAGAGCGTGTCCGTCTTGTGCAGTGAATTCATCAATCATAAGCTCGTCTAGCATGTTTTGGATGTATTGGAAGTCGGACATGTCTCCACCAGCGCCAATAACGGTGTTACTGCCTACGGCATGAAGACGTTGGATATCTTTAAATCTGGCAAGAGAGCCGTACGACGCTGAATAGCAAAAGGGTTAGCCATGCCTCGGGGAACAATGATGGACCCACCAAGATTGTCCGCTGCCATCATGATACCGTCCTTGTACTTGATAGCCAAAACACTCGTCCCCGTTACGATCGGTTGCCTTGTAAGATAATTCAGATGGCAAGATCACCCACGATATACGCGTACTCACTGTGTACGTTGTACTCCAGCTGAAAAAGCGTCCTTGGGGTTGTTTTGTGGCCGTTGTGCGATAGGATAAGTCCCATACGCGTCGAATGCGTCGTTGCGCTGGAAGATTTGAGTATATCGATCCGAGATATTTGGATAAAGCTTACAGGACGTCCCCAGTTTGTTGGAAAGTGGTCCATAGTTGAAGGAGATGGTGATGACGGTAGATCGAGAGGACGCGTAGTCTTCTGATTGCTGACGTAACCGCTTTGGCCTTGTTACAACTGAAGGCTTTCGCAGATCTAGAGTCGATCTTTGAAGTTCAATGGATACTTCAGCAGTGAGGTCCGGCCTCTTTCATTTATGTAGGGCGTGTTTAGATGCTTGAAGCCAGGATTTTGGATATCAGTTTTTTTCCAGCCGCTATGCCAACGTTAAGTATCCCGATCACATTTTCCATCCAAAAACTTTCTCACTTTCGCTCAACCGCTCACAGACCTGCAATACCTTCTCATCGGGAATATTTGCAACCGAAAATCGTATCCACCTCTCCTCTTCCTCTACTGGCTCCTCCTTTTCCCCCTCAGCACCAGATTCCCTCTCGCGCGCATCAGAAAAGAAGCGGGCAGGAAGTGTGACCACCCCCACCTCCTCCGCTAATCGTTGGCACACATCCACAGCACAGACGCGAACAAAAGGATGTCGCACAAACGCAAAGTAGCCTCCTTGCGCGCCAATCCTCCATTTTTCCGGAAGATGGTCTTTGAACAAAATGTGCCTCGACTCAAGCGCCAACGCCGTTTCCCGCACAAAACCGCGGAGGCTAGGCAACAAAGGACCAAGCGCCTGTTGAATAGGGCGCGGGGGGCAGATTTGCATGCTATCCAGAACTTTTCTCACCGAGGTTGTCAGGAGCTCGGGAGAAGCGACGATGGCACCTAGCCGGTGTCCGGGAAGACAGTAAGATTTTGAGAAGGAAAAAAGATGAATAAATGTCGAACGCCAGGGCGTCAGTGGAGAGGAAAAAAGGTTGTGTGGAGGCGTCGAAGTTGTGATGAAATCGCGGTAAGTTTCATCAATTATAAGCGCGAGTTTGTATTCATGCGCCAGGTCGAAGAAAGATGAGATTAATTTGGGTGAGTAAGTTGCCCCCGTCTGCAAGAATGGGATAATTGAAGAAGGAGTGTGATATAGGGAGAACTCACCGGATTATTCGGTGTAACCAGGGCGATCGCCCGCGTCTTCAGTGTAATTAATTCCCTGCACCTTTCGACAGATGGAGTGAATCCATTCTCAGAAAGCGTTGGTAAGGGAATGGCTTCAACGCCGAGAAGATTGAGGCTCATTCTTTTTAAACCTGTCGTTAAAATATGATCTGAATGCAAGACTACAAGAACATACTGGTGATTGAAATACCTGGATCAAAATTAACCAACCACAAAAACAAAAGACGAGTACGACTCACCAGGGCATGGGCAAAATAACCTCATCGCCACTATCAACGATACTCATCGCGACAGCCATGAAAGCCATATTACACCCAGCAGTCAAAGCAACATCCTCCGCTTTCACATATGTCCCTTCTCCATAAACAAGTTTCATTTCCCTTACCAGGGCCTCGCGTAGTTCCTCCTCCCCGGACCAAGGACAATATCCGAAACTGGCTTGGTTAGCTCCCGCCTTCCCGAGCGCTGCTCGGAGAGCTTCAGGCGGAGGTATGCCTGGTACTCCCTGAGCCATATCTAGAAGAGGCCGCGTTGGTGTCGGTACATATCTTGAAGCCCACTCGTACGCTCGTGGGATGCTAGAGGTTGAATTAGGACGATGAGAGATGTACTTTCGCTGACTTAGCAGTATAAGTACTCACGGCGGAGAGATCGTACTACGAGAGCCTCGAGATACCCTAAAATCCAGCCTAGGAGTAGATGCCATGAACCTTACCAAAGACCGATACCTGGATGAAGACTGTGCGATATATCTATGCGAGTGGTGTGTTGCTAGCTGAAGTTCCCACCCGTTGCTAAGGTTGTTCCTTTACCTGTAGAAGAGCTCTCTCTCGCTGCTGGGTATTTCGTACCAGAAGTTCTCGGTGGGGGAACGGTGGCCAGAAGGAGGTGATAATTGAATTAACCGGCGATCGGTTCAAGATCGGTTACTCAACCTCGTGCTCCTTGTTCACTCCCTCTTTACCCTCTCGGGGCCTCTCCTAATGCAATGTCTACCTCATGCCCCATTGACGAGCTCACATCGACCGTTCACGATGCCGTACAGTCGCTAAACCACCTTCGCAAGGCAAACTTTCTTTTGGACACTTCGTTGGCGTTGATCGAGGCTGGAAAGTGCTTCTCTTTTTTTGTCAAATAAGTTCCAGTCTACAACTCGTCCAGGTACGGCGCGGAAGTTGAGAACTACCTCGAAGTATACCTGAAGACTCCAGATCTGCCAAAGCTGGATGTTGCGAGGGCACTCTTAGCTCGAGGGAATGCGAGGAAACGAGCAGGGGAAATGTTGTTAGGGCAAGCCGACCAAGGTCCGTGCAACATACGTAATTCTAACAATTGCTCAAGCATCGCAGATTTTGGAGACGTATTGAAACTGGAGCCTTCGAACAAGGAGATACAAAAGGAGTTGAAACGTCAGAAAGTGGTATGCCTCCGAATACTTTCATCCGAAGCATGATCAATGAAGTGGCCAGATTCATTTCCGACATGAGCCAGCGTCACAACGAGCACCTCTCGAAGTTTGGGAAAGAATTGCCCTTCATACACCCCGATTTTACCTCCGGACGTGGTTGTTTGTCTCCACGTTCCATCATGACATCGCTGTACGACACATCTTCCATACCCTCGACATATATTTCGGAGAAGATCAAGACAACCTGAATAGGGGTCTGGATATCCTTGATCGAGCAAAAGCCGATCCTGTTTTTGCCAGCAGGGTAAAATCCCTTCGACTACACTGGGCATACGAAGAAGGCGACATGCTTGATCTCATGGCCCGTGTGTATACCTTACTCTTCCTTATTACGATATACTGAGCATTTGTTCAAGGTATATTCAGAACTGCACTGCCAGAGTTCAAAGCTTTGCGCGAATTCGAATGGATCGGATATCCTGAAATGCGAGCAGACATGGTACAAGCAGTGCTCAAAAGCCATCCCCACCTCCACGGCCTCGGACTAATGTGAATATCTGTCTCCTTCCAAGCCACACCATTCTGATCTTCTTTTATAGCGGATGGCACTTTGACGCCGTCGGAGTGTCCGCCTTTTGCGATTTGCGCAAATTCACCCTCCGAGCCGAGGACGACGATGGATTCGCCGACATGGGCGAGGTGCGGACGGTGCTTGACCAGAATGAAAACACACTGAAGCACCTCATACTTGGCGCCTACCTCGAGCGCCAGCACTCATGGGACTCGGCCTTTCAGTCAGTGACTATCAGGAACCTCACCCATCTCGACCTTGTGGACACACGTATATCACATATCGTATTCGCGCGCATCGCACACGCACATAACCTGCAGAGCCTCACCCTCCATGGGACGTTCGAGGAGCCCAGCTCGGCGTCGGTGATGTTCAATAGTGACCATGTTATTGACGGCAGACATACGTTCCTACCACACTTGGAAGCTTTCAGGTTCGTGCTGGTGGGACATGAAAACGATACCGGCCTCTACCAGTCCGTCACGCAATTTTTGCGCAAGAGGGAGAATCTACGGAGGCTTGATTTAGGCGACTGCCCGTGGGAGTTGGTACATGGAGTCCTCCCCGATTTACCCAGACTCCGGGTGCTCGGGGTACGCATCGCCAATCTGACTCAGTCGGCACTTTCCTCTTTCGTAAACGCAATACCAGAAGAGATGGTTGCCGTGAATCTCTCGACCGTCATTGCCGAAAAACCTCTGGTACCTGACTTCTCTTATCCAAAAACTCCATGTGTTGACCTGTGTCTCCGCAGAACGAATACGCACCAACCTTCACCAAGTTCCCCGCCCTCTCCTTCCTCCACCTTCGCTGCGCGCACAAACGGCGGCCGAAGCCTAATCTCATGTCTGAAAAGGACTTTCGAGTGCAAACGGATGTGTGGATCTCAAGGGCACGGAGTCTGGCTACGGCGCTTCCCTCCATCGATTTTATCGGCTGGCACGGGGAGCATTACGCCGTCGTGCGCAACGATTCATGCAGCACTGACGACTATGCTGGTGAGACCGTTGAGTTGAAGGAGCTGCCCTCTAGGCGACGGTTGGACTGTGGGAAGGGAGTGGATCTGGGAAGTGAGGATGCGGCTTGGCTGGAACGGAAGGATGTTCCCATAGATTATGAGATGCCAGGATTGGAGTAATTCCAAGCTTTTCTCGTGGTTTCGGTTTCTCTACTCTCCCTCTCTTGTGTATACCATGTAATTCATTCGCGTTTCACATATTGGGCATCACCTACCTGCCATCGTTTTGTTGTTCCATGTCACATGATATCGCCATAAAATTCTGGCTAAGCAAAGCAAACGGCATGGCTCTTATAAAATTTCCACCGTCCTTCAATAATGAAGGGAAGGTTCCGCCATCCACATGTGCTGTTCCGTCTCGTTATCTAAGTTCTTGCAGTGGTAGGTTCGAAATGATTTAAACGTGACAGACACGTCAACAAACCACAACAGACGCGAAACAAAGATAATTACAATCAACAGACGGCTCTCTCTTCCTTACCATCATCATCTCCACCAACTTAGCGCCGTCCCCGTCATTGTCACCGTTACCAAACTTCACATCCCTAACAACACTTAACACTCACACACGATGTCTGGACGCGGAAAAGGTGGCAAGGTGAGCCCTACAAGCAAGGCTGAAGTATCCAGCTGCTAACGCATTTCTGCTTAGGGTCTCGGTAAAGGTGGTGCCAAACGTCATCGCAAGATTCTTCGTGACAACATTCAAGGTGCGTCCTCTCTACAACGACATCTTTGCACAACCATACTCACACCTGTCCAGGTATCACCAAGCCCGCCATCCGTCGTCTCGCTCGCCGTGGTGGCGTGAAGCGTATCTCAGGCCTCATCTACGAGGAAACACGTGGTGTCCTCAAGATCTTCCTCGAGAATGTCATCCGGGACTCCGTCACCTATACTGAGCATGCAAAGCGGTACGCACCCTCCATTCGCCCACATCTGCATTTGCTGATTGTGTTTTACAGAAAAACCGTCACTGCTTTGGACGTTGTGTACGCCCTCAAGCGGTCAGGCCGCACTCTCTATGGGTTTGGTGCTTAGACTGACTTCTTCATCGGTGTACTATTTATTACCTTGCTGGACTGCATTTTCGTTATCCTTTTCTTAACATGTACTATCTGTATGACTATTGAGACAATCTAAACGCTATGTTAATCTATTCGGGTGCCTCCAGCGTTGAGAGCAAGTTGAGAGTGATATGGAGGCGGGCCACGATCAAATCACACTCCTTGACCCCCCAATTTTTGTCGGAGCCGCAAGACGAAGACCAAAGAACCCTAAGCGAAGTACTTGGCCCTAAATCACAATTCGGGTGTGTGATCTCGCTGGCAGATCACAATCAAATTGTGACTTGGATTAGGGTCTGGAAAACACCTGGCCAAGTCTTCGCGCTGACTTAGCATTGTACATACATGGTAAATAGTATCAAATAATTCAATAATTGTTAGTATTCGCTCCTCCTCGTCGTATCATACACGCTTATGAGCGTGCCTCGTTCTGCATTCCAGACAATGACACCCCTCGGCAGGTGGATGACTTTAGCATTGATCCAGCACTTTTCCAGGAGTCCGTACGTCAAAAATCGGTGGCGTAGCTGTACCTTCCCAAAGGGTCACCACCTGGTTCTTTGGACTTCTTCCTTCCCGCCACATCGTCCCATTGGTAAGTCCCCTCCTGTATTGTATCTCTCCTGCCTCACAACATCAAGACTGACAATAGCAGCCGAGGCCCCAAGTCATGGCAGCTTGCCTCCCATACTCAGCAAGAAGCTTGCCTGCCATACTCAGCAAGGGGACGGACCACCATGACACGAACAGGGCAACCACGACATGACTACAACAACCATGACGTGACCACGACCACACGATGACCACAACGTCGGACCACCACGATGCGACCACGACGGACGACGGTGACGCGAAGGCGACCACGATGGACCACCACCACCACAACGCGAAGACAACTCTGACGGACAACGAACCCATGAAGACAAATGAGGGACGACGACAACGAACAACTAACGAACAACAGACGACCACCTGTGGTGAGTGCCCAATGTCTCTACAGCCGTGAACGCTTAGCATCCTAACCCACTCAATCACACCCTCACATCACAAAGCGACCGTAAATGTCTTCCAACAATGACAACGAATGCCATCGACCTCAGTGGGTACTAGTCGGCCTTGCCTCTCTTGTTCATATTGGCCTAGCGATGGGGTTGACATTCATACAAGTATATATGCTACTTTCCTAAAATAATCCCCATCATGTAGATGTGTATGGTACTCTAAAATCAATCTTATTGTTGGGCCTTTATAGGCATACATGACTGGTGTAACAATTCTCATTGCTCAGTACCACGAAAAATGGACAAAATACCTTACTTCACCACAGAAACAAACACCTGGTTTGAATGGCTGGGTGCCATGCTCTGTAAAATCAGGAGGTTGTTTCTGATGCAATTTCCATCAAGTAGAGCCCAAGAACGTAAAAATCGAACAAGAACTTACCCGTTAGCCTCAATTTCTGGGGTAATAGCCCTCATTCATCCACAGAATCGAACGCTGAGATTGAACGGTTGGCCGCTATGTTTTGCGAATTTGGGAGGTCGTTCCTAAAGCGATTTCCGTCAAGTAGACCCTTAGAACGTAGAAATTGAGGAAGAACATACTTGTTAGCCTCAATTTCTGCTAAGAGACCTTATTCCTTCGCAGAATTAAACGCCGAGTTTTGCAAGCTCGGGCCGTTGTTCCTGAAGAAATTCCGGTTAAGCAGATTTCAAGAACATAAAATACGGGTAAAAACTTACTTTGTTAGCTCAATTCTCGTAATAGATCTCATTTCTCCGCAGAACCGAGCGCCGACTTTGAACGGTTAGACGCTATGTTTCGAAAACTCGGGAGGTTGTTCCTAAAGCAATTTCGGTCAAGTGAAACCCAAGAACGTAAAAATTGAGCAAGAACTTACCTGTGAGCTTCAATTTCTAGGGTAAGAGACCTTACTGCCCTGCAGAACCAAACACCGACTTTAAACAGTCAGGCACTATTGTTTTTAAAACTTGGGAGGTTGTTCCTGAAGCAAATTTGGTTAAGTAGAGCCCAAGAATGCAAAATTTGAGTAAGAACTTACCTGCAAGCCTTAATTTCTGGTGATAGCCCTCATTTCTCCGCAAAACCAAACACCAACTTTGAACGGTTGGGCGCTATGTTTCGAAAACTCGGGAAGTTGTTCCTAAAGCAATTTCGGTCAAGTGAAATCCAAGAACGTAAAAATTGAGCAAGAACTTACCTGTGAGCCTCAATTTCTAGGGTAAGAGACTTTATTGCCCTGCAGAACCAAACACCGAATTTGAACGGTTAGGCGCCATGTTTCGCAAACTTGGGAGGTTGTTCCTGGAGCAATTTCGGTCAATTAAAGCCCAAGAACGTAAAATTTGAGTAAGAAATTACCTGCAAGCCTCAATTTCTAGTAATGGACCTCATTTCCCCACAAAACCGAACGCCGACTTTGAACGGTTGGGTTGCATGTTTTGAAAACTTGGGAGGTTGTTCCTAAAGCAATTTCGGTCAAATGAAACCCAAGAACGTAAAAATTGACCAAGAACTTACCTGTGACCTCAATTTCTGGAGTAAGAGACCTTAATCCTCCGCAGAACCAAGCACCGACTTTGAACGGTTAGGCGCTATGTTTTGCAGACTCGGGAGGTTGTTCTTGAAGCAATTTCGGTCAAGTAGAGCCCAAGAACGTGAAATTTGAATAAGAACTTACCTGCAAGCCCCAATTTCTAGTAATAGACCTCATTTCTCCGCAAAACCGAGCGCCGACTTTGAACGGTTACGCATTACGTTTCGAAAACTCGGGGGGTTGTTCCTAGAGCAATTTCGGTTCAGTAGAACCCAAGAACGTAAAAATCGAGTAAGAACCTACCTGTAAGCCTCAATTTCTGGCAATGGACCTTATTTGCCACAAAACCGCACGCCGACTTCGAACGGCTGGGTGCCATATTCCCAAAACTTGGGAGGTGGTTCCTGAAGCGATTTCGGTCAAATAGAGCCCGGGGGCGCAGAATACGAGCAAGAACTTACTTTTCTAGCTCAATTTCTGTTTGTGGGCATCCTTTCACCACAAAACCAAATGCCAAAATTGAACGGATCGGCGTTCCATTTCGTAAGCTCGGGAGGCACTTCCTGTAGTAGTCACCGTCAAGTAAAGCCCAAGATCATCAAATTCGAGCCAGAACTCACAGAGTAAATCCATTTCTTGTGGGTGGACTTGCCAAACCTTGATGCCGAAAATAGCTTGTGCACATGGAGCTGAATGGAGGTGCAGTTCATGTATTTGATTTACGAGGCTTCTACCTGGTAGTCTATTTTACAAGGTAAAGGGAGAGGACAGCTATGTAAGTACGAGCGTCGGCTTGAACGGAAAGGGAATTAGCGCACGAGAAAACAGTCAGGGTCCAGGACAAGTGTTGGGTGGGAGGTGTGATTTCAGGACAAGTCAGGTCTCCCATCCGCCAAAAAGTGTGATCCAAACTGTGATTTGGCGGGTCCGTTTTGTGACTTGTCCTGGAAAAAAGTGTGATTTGGCGTGGGAGGGACTGCAAAAAGTGTGATTCGGTGTGATTTGCAGGACAAGTGTTGGCGCGCAACCGTGATTTGGGTGTGATTCGAACTCCGAAATCACAACACTTGGCTTGAGACCTCCTAGAGAGCGATATGATTGTTAGAGCCCAGTGAAAATGAGGGCTAAGCAGGTCGAACCAGGTCGAGCCAAATTTAAAAAATTAGATTTGGTTGAGGCTCGAGTTGGAGAGTGAGCTTGCGAGCTCGAAACAACTCAAGCAGGGCTTTGTAA